ACCATCAGGCCTCACGTCTACTACTTCTGGTAAATAACTCAGCTACAGTAAGCGTATGCAATGACGCCCCGGGAACGTGGCGAACTCGCCATCTGCGTGTAAGGGCGGCGAGTCTACGCGAGGCATCACGCCAAGGTTTACTAGAAGTTCGTCATATTGCTGGCCTCCTCCAGAAGGCGGGCATGGGCACGAAATGCTTCGAACCGGCACGGTTATATGAGCTTATGCAGCTGTGGGGGTTGGTTCACTTTGACGAGTCCTCTAAGGATACCTACAAAAGGGCGACTACAAGCACTTCCACAACGACTCTTGCGGCGGCGGTCTTGGCTGGCTTGAGAAAGTGCTGGTGGAACACACTTACAAGATTGGCCACGGTGTTGACCTTTCTGGCTTGCCCTGTGGAAGGACGTACAACCAAGCAGGACATCGAGGTTTCATTTCCATGGGAGTTCTACTCGATGTTGCTGATCTTCGTGGTTGCGGGGATTGGTATTTGGGAATTGTTAAAGCGGTGGCTGCAGAGATGGACGCAAGAGGAGCAGGAGTCGAAGGAAGCAAGGCGCCTCCGGAAGCTGCAAGCAGCGGTTCGCGAGGAACTGCATGGCATTGGTTTGGCGAGCTCTACGCCCGCGAGACCTACAACGAGTTACACCTACGAAGCGGCGTCGTCTTCGCGGGATGTCCCGCCTCCACCGCCTCCTTATCCTACAGGAGAGGATGATCTACCACCTCTACAGGAGCTTCGATCTACAGCTGGACGAGCGCGCCGTCGTGGCACGCTTATGACGGTGGACCAGGCTGTGCAGACCGAGCCCAGGCGTATCCAAGGGGAGGTCACCCTGAACTATGGACAGACGCTGTACACTACAAAAGGGGGGAAGTGCGTTCATTCGAGGAGCACATGTTCCTCTCTGGTAGTTGGCGGGCGAGTAGATGAGAAGCACTTGTGTCAACTCTGCAATCGAGGTTGAGTGGGCGCGAGCAGGCCCTTCTGGAGCCTGACCAAATCTGGTTACTATGAAGATGCGCATGTGGGGCTTTTCTGAAATGGCAGGCTACTGAAATGAGAAAGCGGAACCACTCAGCTTGGAGCTGGATGGATGCGTTGCTTTCAGAATGAGCTGCGGATTCGGTGCCGTAATTAATTCCAAATCCTATGGAAATGGTCAGGGCATAGTGCCCCTGTCGGATTCCTAAGGGGAGGAGGAGTGCTGGTGATTGTAAGATCACCTGTGATGCCCAGTCCATTTAGTGACGTGAATCGGGCGTCGATCCTACGAGAGAGAAGGATGTTCCGTAATGGCATTGCTTCGCTTGTTGTGTGCACAGAAGCCAACGGCGACTCTCGAATGGCTCAAGATGAAAACAGGGCCCGGTGCCGAGGCGAGGCCGTTGCGGCCGTTCTTAGGCGGGGCTTCTCTTTGGGGCTTTCTTGAGGAGGGTTGGGTTTCTAGGCTCAGGCCTGGTAGATCCCCTTCTTTGACCCCCGTTACTTGCTCCTCTCCCCTTCCCTTTCGTTCAGGGTCTTTGGAGCTTGACTTTGCGTTTCTTCGTGCTTGTCTGAGTGATCTTTACTTGTAACTACGAGTTCTGTTGATTTGTTGAAAAGATTTCATTACTTTGGCGACGTCGTTACCAAGCCATGGCCCTCCCTGCTAACTCCGAGGATCCTGTAGGGGATCAGCAAGAAGATATAAATAAACATAAGTTTAAAATAGATTAAGGGTTTAGTTATAATGTATAATGACAGGGCAAGTATGCCAGTTTTGGCTTTTGGAAGAAGGAGAAGAATACCCCTATAATAGCAACCCCAGTGTCTCACTTGAATGAACTCGTGAAAGGGAAGTAATGAGATACATGCAATAGCAACTCATAAGCAGGTGCTTAATTAGTTTGTTAAATCTATTGGAATTGTCTTTATAATTTACATTATGAAGCGAATTATATGACAATATATACTGATAAAATTGAAGTATCATTCTCTAATAATTATGATGGATTTAGTCATAATTTTTTGTAAGTTAGAGTTTGTCCGGTATGTAATGTATGTAACGAAATGGAAAATTTCATAAGCTTACAGAAACACAAAGAATACAATATCGTATGTAGGAGATGCTTAGATAGGCAGAACGATAATAGAAAAAACGCAAAGTTTTAAAACTTTTAAAAACTAATCTTAAACTTTTAATATAGTATGAGCGATGTACATGACGCTTCGGCAGATGCCTCGCGAGGCTCTCGCGACGTTGTAAAACCAATCAAGCACATCAGCAGTCAAAAGATGATAGAAAAGTTAGAACTCATTGAGAAAAGATTAACGAATTACTAATTAAACCTAAACCGGTTAATAAACCAGTGGATAAAGATAGTGATGTGTATAAGAATAAGAGAAATGTTTATGTGAATAAATTGAATAACAAGGATATTAAGTTTCCTAAGAAGGAGACATTAGAATATTATGAGATTAAATTTGACGACCAAGAGAGAGCGTATTAGATAATGTCAAACCAAAACCTCGCAGAACCAAGTGGAATGGCAAAACTTTATGTGTGATAATGAATGGATATACACGAATAGCATTTTACTAGTAATAATTAGAAAAATTCTATAGGATAAGGGTTATGTTCTTTTGGGGATTGTTCTATTAGGGTCTTACCCCACACCTCATATTAGGGTATAGGTTATTTTATGGTTGAAGGTAGGGTTTGTTTAGGTGCTTTGGGTTTTGGGTTATGTTATGGATTGTTGTATTTGTTGGTGGGTTGCTTTGTTTGGGATTATTGCTTTTGTGTTGGGAGGTGCTTTGTGTACTGGTGTTTTGGAAGGTTGATTTTGGGAGGCGGGTTGAGAATTGAGGCAAAAGTGTAGGGGGAGTATAGGATGTGAGGTGTGGGGTTAGCGTCTGCTTGCTCAAAAAACCCTAAACCCTCATGATCTTGTTGTGTGGCAGCGCGCTTTGCCGATGATTGCGGAAACACATGTCAGATTCTAGACTTTATATCCCGCAGATCCGTTCCGACAGTTCTATGCCCCAGGATGCATGTTGAGACTGAACTTTGGAGGTAGTTCTTTTCCATGACCCATCAGCAACCGTTATGTTCGGATCTTTGTCCGGAGACATCTCATGCGGCGCAGGGTCCGAAGTCTGTTCGAAGTCCCTGCAAGTAGCAAGTAGGCCACGAAATCCTAGGCGATGCAACCACTGCTTTGCAGGAGCCATGCGCAGAGTTGGAAGTCGGAGACATGCAGTCGCCTTCCGTTAGCGTCTCAGAAGGTTGACTGAAGCTCTGTTTTTTTTGAAGACTGGATCCCAAAATCAGCGACAAAAATCTCTTCTAGTTTGAGCTGCTAGACGACTACAAATCTACTCTGGGATAGTGTCTTTTTTCTGAAAGTTTTGTGGATTTTCCGGTCGAAGATCCCATGGGTTCCAGGTAGACTGGCTTTCGCCTGAACTTCCCTTGTAGCGTTTCGGTAGGGTTGAGGGAAACCCTAAACCCTACACCCTAAACTCAAACCCATCATCGGAAGTACGGCTCGAAGCAGCTGATCGGTGGAGCGCCCAGAGTTGCAGCTATTAGCCTTAAACACTCAAACACCCCAGACATCAACATGGAGGCTCACTCACCCCCTCGGTGGTGTCAACCGTGAGAGCTAGCTGACCTGACAAGGAGGCCGAGGGTGCCAATGATGAGGAGAAGGTGGAGCCTGGTGTGCTGGGGCATGTGCGCAAGTTTAGGCCAGGAGCTTGGCATGTGAAGTGTCTTCGCATCGTCCTGTGGGAACATGGCAGGTGCCAGCACCTCCTCGAAACGTTGACGCCGCTGCCTCAGGACCTGATGCAGGGCGGCATCCGGTTGGGACGGATCCAGAACGGAGACCCAGCAGGCAATGTCACTCGCGTGGTCATGCGCTGAGGAATACGGCATGGCAATCAGGTACTATGTGCTCCGCGCAGCTCGACTCATATGGTCATAGTTGCAGCGTGGTTCAGCTCACAGGTGCTTGCAGCTTGCGCTTGTGCATGCTGCTTGGAAGGAAGAAGGAGGCAGCAACTGTGTTCGGGTGGGCGAAGCTGCGAAGCTGGCAGCTAATGAAGTTTGTGGAGGACACTCGTAGCCGTAGCCGCACTTTTGGTGACTTTTCTTCAGGGTAGTCAAAGGCCATCCCCTTGCAGGCTGATCCCAGAAATGACTATGCGCCCTTTAGGATGCTGGGCTATACTGTAGTTGTACACAACAGATGGTTTCTTGGGATTCTGAGGCTGCGTCTCGACGCGTTGACCTCCGGGAGGCTGCCTGCGTGCTTGCGCACGATGATGATGACGCCAGTAGAGAGACGGCAGAAGTAAGGTGAATGAGATTAAAGCCTGACAAGACATGTAATCCAACTGCAAAGCACTAATGTTTAACTACGCTAAGCATAAACTCTTGCATGACATCCATGATCGACTCAGTGTTCGCAGAAAACCTTTGTTGTTCCGGCCTGACTGTTGCAAGTTTACGTGCAGTTAAGGGAGGGCTTGGGTTAGGGAGCCGTTCGGGAGCCGTGGCTTCGGCCGCGTAATGGGTAGAGATGCTGGCGCAGGCACAGCTGCTCTCTGAGACCATGGCCGAGTCTACATGTCAAAATGACATGACACATGGCCTTGCTGGACGGCCACAGAGGCTTGAACTGAATTCCATTCGCTCCTGCCACGTGCAGGCGCCGCCAAGCGCAAAAGAGCAGAAGACGTTTCTCAAGCAATGGACGTCGTCAAGGACACCAGTGCAATCTCCTAGAACAGCTCCACCGAGAGTGTGTCGGACTCCGCTCGTGCAAGATAGTCGAATGATTGAGATCTTTCTTCAGGAGCATCTCTTTCCCGTGGCTGCTTCCTTCAACGCGTGGACGCATGTCACGGGTCTGAGATGGCGCGCTGTTAAGCCTTGCACTGCCAAGCGCCCCTTCGATGTGCAGCTGCAGCTCGTGTTCAGCGGCCGGCAGGTCACCGCGGTTCAATGTCCTTTCAGCCGTCTGAAAAGGTCGGATGCCCTGTCGTTCCGTTTCGCTGATGCCGTGGAAGTTGCAATCATGGAGAGAATATACCCGTGCGGACATCGTTGTTTGTGTCAGGTCTCCATCGAGGAACATCCGCGGCCAAGTGCTCTCAGCAGTTCATGGTCATCATCGATCGCTTTCTTTTCTCGTTTGGCACTCGGATTGCTGACGTGCGGGGAGCGACAACTGCAGACTAGGTTCCTGGATGTTCCTCGCAATTTCGACAGCAGATGTGGATTGTCAGATTGTCAGGGCGAGTTGGCAACCTTTGCACCGTGGTCCTCATTCCGGCTGCATGGCTGCAAGAAGTCGGGCAGTGTCACACTTGCGACGGCCCGCCGCCTTCGAACCAGGCAATCTTTCGTGATGCGTTCTGGCGACCGTGCTGCTGGGTGCCTGGAGTTCTTGACATGATCATGATGGTCCACTCGGTTTTTTTTCGCAACTTTAGCTGTTGGATGGCAAAGTCAAGCCCTAACCACAATCGCACAAACTACCATGCGTTGGGGGCGGTGGTTTGTCGTGCCCACATCCCTTTTCGCTTCAGGTGGGTTGCTTCCAGTGTGAAACCGCAGCCATCACCCGAGGCGACTTCGAATCATGGCGGCAGAAGCAGAGCCGAAGGCTGTACCGACACTCAAACACCAGTTCAGTGAACTTGCCTGTGCCATTCTGTCTGTCTGTCGCGGGTTCTTGTGGAAGCACGGATGAGATTTCTTCACCCCCTACGCTCCCCCTTAGCTGCCTTAGCTCCTGCCATGCGCAGGCGCCGCCAAGCGCAAAAGAGCAGAAGACGTTTCTCAAGCAATGGACGTCGTCAAGGACACCAGTGCAATCTCCTAGAGTAGCTCCACCGAGAGTGTGTCGGATTCCGCTCGTGCAAGATAGTCGAAGGAGCATCTCTTCCCCATGGCTGCTTCCTTCAACGCGTGGACGCATGTCACGGATGCTGGGGTCTGAGAGGGCGCGCTGTTAAGCCTTGCACTGCCAAGCGCCCCTTCGATGTGCAGCTGCAGCTCGTGTTCAGCGGCCGGCAGGTCACCGCAGTTCAATGTCCTTTCAGCCGTCTGAAATGGTCGGATGCCCTGTCGTTCCGTTTCGCTGATGCCGTGGAAGTTGCGATCATGGACAGAACATACCCGTGCGGACATCGTTGTTTGTGTCAGGTCTCCATCGAGGAACATCCGTGTCCAAGTGCTCTCAGCAGTTCATGGTCATCATCGATCGCGTTCTTATCTCGTTTGGCACTCGGATGGCTGACGTGCGGGGAGCGACAACTGCAGACTAGGTTCCTGGATGTTCCTCGCAGTTTTGACAGCAGATGTGGATTGAGATGGTCAGGGCGGTTTGGCAACCTTTGCACCGTGGTCCTCATTCCGGCTCCATGTCTGCAAGAAGTCGGGCAGCGTCACGCTTTCGACTGCCCGCCGCCCTCGAACCAGGCAATCTTTCGTGATGCGTTCTGGCGACCGTGCTGCTGGGTGCCTGGAGTTCTTGACATGATCATGATGATCCACTCGGTTTTTTTCGCAACTTTAGCTGTTGGATGGCAAAGTCAAGCCCTAACCACAATCGCACAAACTACCATGCGTTGGGGGCGGTGGTGTGTGGTGCCCACATCCCTTTGCGCTTCAAGTGGGTTGCTTCCAGTGTGAAACCGCAGCCATCACCCGAGGTGACTTCGAATCATGGCGGCAGAAGCAGAGCCGAAGGCTGTACCGAAACTCAAACACCAGTTCAGTGAACTTGCCTGTGCCATTCTGTCTGTCTGTCGCGGGTTCTTGTGGAAACACTGATGAGATTTCTCCCCCTGCGCTCTAGCTCCTGCCATGCGCAGGTGCCGCCAAGCGAAAAAGAACAGAAGACGTTTCTCAAGCAATGGACGTCGTCAAGGACACCAGTGCAATCTCCTAGAACAGCTCCACCGAGAGTGTGTCGGATTCCGCTCGTGCAAGATAGTCGAACTATTGAGATCTTTCTTCAGGAGCATCTCTTTCCCATGGCTGCTTCGTTCAACGCGTGGACGCATGTCACGGATGCTGGGGTCTGAGAGGGCGCGCTGTCAAGCCTTGCACTGCCAAGCGCCCCTTCGATGTGCAGCTGCAGCTCGTGTTCAGCGGCCGGCAGGTCACCGCAGTTCAATGTCCTTTCAGCCATCTGAAATGGTCGGATGCCCTGTCGTTCCGTTTCGCTGATGCCGTGGAAGTTGCAGTCATGGAGAGAACATACCCGTGCGGACATCGTTGTTTGTGTCAGGTCTCCATCGAGGAACATCCGTGTCCAAGTGCTCTCAGCAGTTCATGGTCATCGTCGATCGCTTTCTTTTCTCGTTTGGCACTCGGATTGCTGACGTGCGGGGAGCGACAACTGCAGACTAGGTTCCTGGATGTTCCTCGCAGCTTTGACAGCAAATGTGGATTGAGATTGTCAGCGCGATTTGGCAACCTCTGCACCATGGTCCTCATTCCTGCTGCATGGCTGCAAGAAGTCCGGCAGTGTCACACTTTCGACTGCCTGCCGCCTTCGAATCAGGCAATCTTTCGTGATGCGTTCTGCTGGGTGCCTGGAGTTCTTGACATGATCATGATGATCCACTCGGTTTTTTTCGCAACTTTAGCTGTTGGATGGCAAAGTCAAGCCCTAACCACAATCGCACAAACTACCATGCGTTGGGGGCGGTGGTGTGTCGTGCCCACATCCCTTTTCGCTTCAGGTGGGTTGCTTCCAGTGTGAAACCGCAGCCATCGCCCGAGGTGACTTCGAATCATGGCGGCAGAAGCAGAGCCGAAGGCTGCACCGAAACTCAAACACCTGCTCAGCGAACTTGCCTGTGCCATTCTGTCTGTCTGTCGCGGGTTCTTGTGGAAACACGGATGAGATTTCTCCCCCTACGCTCCCTTAGCTGCCTTAGGTCCTGCCATGCGCAGGGAAGACGTTTCTCAGGCAATGGATGTCGTCAAGGACACCAGTGCAATCTCCTAGAGTAGCTCCACCGAGAGTGTGTCGGATTCCGCTCGTGCAAGATAGTCGAAGGAGCATCTCTTCCCCGTGGCTGCTTCCTTCAACGCGTGGACGCATGTCACGGATGCTGGGGTCTGAGATGGCGCGTTGTTAAGCCTTGCACTGCCAAGCGCCCCTTCGATGTGCAGCTGCAGCTCGTGTTCAGCGGCCGGCAGGTCACCGCGGTTCAATGTCCTTTCAGCCGTCTGAAAAGGTCGGATGCCCTGTCGTTCCGTTTCGCTGATGCCGTGGAAGTTGCAGTCATGGAGAGAACATACCCGTGCGGACATCGTTGTTTGTGACAAGTCTCCATCACGGAACATCCGTGTCCAAGTGCTCTCAGCAGTTCATGGTCATCATCGATCGCTTTCTTTTCTCGTTTGGCACTCGGATTGCTGACGTGCGGGGAGCGACAACTGCAGACTAGGTTCCTGGATGTTCCTCGCAATTTACACAGCAGATGTGGATTGTCAGATTGTCAGGGCGAGTTGGCAACCTTTGCACCATGGTCCTCATTCCTGCTGCATGGCTGCAAGAAGTCGGGCAGTGTCACGCTTTCGACTGCCCGCCGCCCTCGAACCAGGCAATCTTTCGTGATGCGTTCTGGCGACCGTGCTGCTGGGTGCCTGGAGTTCTTGACATGATCATGATGATCCACTCGGTTTTTTTCGCAACTTTAGCTGTTGGATGGCAAAGTCAAGCCCTAACCACAATCGCACAAACTACCATGCGTTGGTGGCGTCGGTGTGTCGTGCCCACATCCCTTTCACACATGTAAGAAATGTGAACATAAACACGAACATAATTATGAGTTCGAATAAACAGATACATACATATATATATATATGCACACAGTCTTTCATATATGTCCATTTATTCAGTCTAAGTTCTGCTTCAGAGTTTCGAGCGCCGGACATGGCTCGAAGAGAACTGGGAATCCGCGGGGAAAGTGCAGGTGTGCTGAGTGCCGCTAAAGTCCCCTGGCTGACTCTCTACCGCATGAACCAGAAAGAGAACGATACGAGCAGCACGACAACATTGTTGCTTGCACATATATCTTCGAGAAGTTACTTGGGCTGTGTTGCCCAAGTCTGCATGTTAGCGATCTACTACATCTTGAAGGATGTGCTAGGCAGGAGTGAGATTTGCAACGGTTTTAGATCTGAATCCCGGCCAGGGCTGAACATGAATCGGGGACAGCATCCTGAAAAGCCCAAAGCCCGAAACTCCAAAACTCAACACCGTAAACACAACATCCTCAAACCTTAAACCCTAACCCTAAACCCACATCTATCTTTACTTGCAGCCCGAAGGCCGGCTGTTGTTTTTCCATGACGATCCCACCGATGCCCAGGACGGGGTTCAGGGTTCAGGGTTCAGGGGTTAGGGGTTTGGGGGTTTGGGGGTTCAGGCTTTGTGATTGAGGGCGGCCGCCCTCGAGGTTGCCGCCTGCGCGCAGGCGTCGCGGTTCTTGGAGAACGCTTGCGCAAGGGACGTAAGGTTCTCCAGTTCTCCACCAGCTCGCTCTTTTCTTCGCCCGACCCTTGGGCTTCTCTGAGAGCACGCTGAACCCCGGACCAGTTGGACGCGTTGGCTGCGGCCAGAGCCCGGAGAAGCGACAACTGGCCTGTAGCCAGTACCACTTTGCGGCGGCGTGGAGCAGGTTCCTCCGTCTCGTCGAGCTCGAGTTCCTTCTTAGTTCCACCGCCCTCTTCTTGTTTGGAGGAGCTGGACGCGGCCTCGCCCGGCAAGGCGGTGGCTACCGGAATTTCGGCCTCGTCGCCAGACCAATCCGGGTCTTCGTCTTGCAAAGCCTAGTCACAGGGAGCCAGCAGCCCGCAACTACCCGTCAATTTGTGGTGCTGGTCTTAAAACCCTAAACCTTAAACCTTATTTGAGTGTTCCAGGTGCTGTTGATGGCCCTGGTTCGATATTGGCATCTGAGCCTCGTGCGCGCGCGTCGGGAAAAGCTCTGGAAGTTGCTTCTCAGGAAGGTCTTGAGAGATTTAAGGGAGTTTATTCAGAGTTCTTTGTAAAAGCATCATCCCACCCACAGTATAGTCTCCATCGTTGTTTTCAGAGTTTGCTCTTCACTTCCGGGGTGCGAGTTTCCTTGCGGGGCCTCGAGGCATGCAACGATTTCTTTTGTTACGGTCTGGTTGGTTCCCTCCGTGCTCCGTCAGAACCCGTGTTTGCAACGCTGCATGGTCCGGAAGTTGAGGTAGCTGTCATTAAAGTCGCGGAGGGTCGAAACCTTGAACTTGCCGTTGACTGTTGGCTGTGCTCGGCACCTGTCCGTGCAGGTAGATGGTGTTGTTCTGCTTACTGTTCAATTGTTCAAGCATCTTTTTGAGACATGATGTTCGCGATCGCAAGGAGATCACAGCATCTCGCAACAAGCTGCCAAGGAAACCTTCAATCCCAAGTCCATGAGCGTTTGGTGCTGACTCCAGTTAAGTGCCGACTCCACATTCGCCGTTGTGGTTGTTGCCATGGCACAAGGCGGGCAGGACGCGCTGCTATATATGAACAGGTGATGCTTTGAGGTTGCTTCATGCTTCGGCGTGTCAGGACATATTCGTGTCCACTGCAACCACCAAAGAACTCGGCGTGGTGTTGGACTCCCACAATGCCGTGGCGCGGCAAGGGTTCGCGAAATCACAGGTGCTTGAGATGCTCTGTGCCTCAACGGCGAAGGCGCAAAAGTTGGTGGATTTCCAGCAGCAGCTGGAAGCTCTGAAGCAAGGCCACGAGGCCCTGAGCCCCTCTGAGAGATGGAGGCTTCCCTCGTCTCTTGAAACCTCGACGCAGGAGGGCCAGAAGGCTGCGACAGAAAAGCAGGCCCAGGAGCAGGAAAGGCAAGCGACTGTCTCCCAGAAGCAAGACGAGGAGACGGGGATGCTAGAAGCACAGTCCTTAATTATGATTTCGGTTATCCCTTTCACCAGTTCCACTAGGAGTAGTATGATGACTCCTCTGCTATTGTAGCTGTTCTCTCCTTGGTTTGTTGCTTCGAGTCGAGATTTCCGATCAGGAGCAGAAACAGGTCGCCGAGCAGTTGGAGGGCCTGAAGGCCGGGGACTCTTGGAGCGGATTGCCGACGAGGGGAGAGAGAGAGGTGGCTACACAGACAGGCAGACATTATCACACGTGCTTACTTGCACATCTAGATGGATGCATACATCCTGCAATGCTCCCGCTTACTTGCAAACCTCACGACGGCTGCATCTCTGCGAACGGTGGGCGTAGGGCTTCGCCGGTTTTACGTCGTCCTCAATCAATGTATATATATATATATATGTACACACACACACATAATATGCATATATAGAAATATAGATATAGATAAAGATATAGGGCGATAGCTCGTCAGTTAGTGGGTTAGCTGGCTGGGCAGTCATAGTTACATACATCAATACGTACGTACATACATACATGGGAGTTTCCGAAAATAGGGACCCTAATATAGTACCCTGAGTAGTAGGAGCCTTGTTATAAAGACCCCAAAATACGGTACCCTAATTTTCGGAAACCCCATATACATCGCGGAGCGTTGTCCCCGAGGCTCAGTTGGCCGAGCTGGGGAAGTCCCAGGGCGCGCCCAGCCCTGAGAGAGTGCCCGGGGCAAGTGCTGTGAGAAAATGGGCTAGAACAAAGCTGTCCTCCGTCCTGGGCCTCATAGGCTCATTAACTTAAGTTCCCATGTACAAACGGGATTGCATGTCTCTAGCCGCTCTGATCCTTTCTGCAAGTTCCGACGAGAAGCTCGCTGCACTCGAGGATTCAACAGTCCGAGCCCCTGAGAAAAACCGAGCTCTGCGCCTTCCAATGGGCCAATGCTGACGCTCTCAAGGCTACCGGCCTCAAGTCTCTGCAGCTGGCCATCGATGAGTTGGGGACCAGTCAGGCGCGACGGAAGCACCAAAAAAGGGTTGCCGGTTGGTGTTCTTTTCGGGGTTCTCTCACTGTGCAGGCAGAGCTGAAGACGCGTGATCCCGGCACTTTGAATTCTCGCTTCAGAATATTTCAGAATGGCTGCCGGTGCTTGCCACGCCGTGCGCGGAGCTCATGCCAGTAGCTCCCCATCAAGTCGCGGCAAGTGGCATGGAAATCTCGGCGACATGTTTTCGTTCATGCCTCTGACTGCAGCCGGACTGCCAGGGCTCATTCCCAAGTGGGAAGCCGAGCTCAGTTCGCAGGCACAAGGGCAGCTTCCGGAGAGTCAAGACAGTTTTGTCCTTCTTTGCAGATGAAGAAGTTGGACAAGGACATCCAGGCTGTGCGGCAAAGTCTCGTTCTGAGATCACAACTCTTGTGTGCTTGTCGTGTCCTTGTCCTCACGGTCCCGACTGGCTCTGAGGCTCAGAGGGCGGTGCCGAGAAGTTGAGACGTGCCGCAAGTGAGCAGGAGGTGGGTCGCCACCATAGCGCGAAAAGGAGATACAGATACGATGCTAATTGAAGTAACGTTTTCAGGAGAAGCTGCTGGCCGCTTGCGCCGCGGTCGAGTCGAGCCTGAGACCCCACGTCGACGAGGATCATCCTCTTGAGCTGCAGGGCTGCTGAGAAAGATGTTTCAGAAGCCAGGCTGCTCAGCGGCTTGACCAAGCCGAGGCAAAGGAATGCTGTAGAAGTCTGTCGTTCTGTGAATGACCCTACGCTGTCCCGGCTAGGTGGACCTGAAAAAGCTGCACGGCGACCTAGATGCTGTTGCGGCCGAAGGTGCCTTGACGGAAAGAGGGGAAGAGCCACGTGACGTGTGGCTTGTTCGGCTTGGGGCCACAGGAAAGCCTTGACAGGCCAGCGACGATGTGCCGACGTTGCCGGGGAGTGGTGCCGGCATGTGCATCATGTCACGTGCCCAATGGCCTGCAATGGGCAACATGCCGGGCTGCCACCCGTCGTTTGTAAGACATGGGTTCGCCATGGACACGATCACGGTAATGGTCCTCCGGCTCGTCACCATCAGCAGCATTAGTAGCATCAGCAGCATCATCGCCGTCCTCACGGCCATCATCACCGCCATCATCGCCGCCATGATCGCCTCTGTCATCACCATCATCGTCATAGTAATCGTCCTCCTCCTCCTCCTCCTCCTCCTCCTCCTCCTCCTCATCCTCATCCACATATCCCTGCCTCTTTCTTCCCGACAAAGTCATTATGATTAATCGTCATCATCATCCTCTTCCTCAACATCGTCATTTTCACAAGCGACATTCGCATGACTATCATGTGACCAGGGGCGTGTGGGCGATATCAGATAACGCCAGAATGGCATCCATCATCTCCGTACTTGGGAATCGGCCACGGCATATGAAGTTGATAGGCTTCCCAGGCTGCCAGGGTGCTTACAAATGGGGTAAGTGGTATCGCTGCGTGAGCAGATACTGCAACAAGTGCGATCGCCTACTCTGCGACTGATGGAGGTAAAATCTGCAGGATGTGTATAATTATCCGACGGCTTGTGGCGGCTTGAAGCGATGTTGCAATGACATTTTCATTTTCTGTAGGAAATGCAGTAAGCCCAGCCATCGACGACGACAGTCAAGGGTCAGGCTTTTGGTAGGATGCGTCCCGCCAGGTTGAGCAATGCTGTCGAGCAAGCGCGCGACTTCGCCACCAACCAGGATCTCTTCTGTGCCACGTTAGCCTACTACTGTTCACTGATCGTCGGGCTTTGTGTAGCAGAATAAAGGACAAAGCACACCTCGCTGACATCAAAGAGGCGCAATGGCTTGCCGTTCAGCGACCCTTTTTGTTCAAGCGTGCATCAGCGTCTTGCGACATGCAGAAGCGTCTGTTCGAGCCTTTGTGCTCCTTGGATTGTCGGGCGAAGTTAATCACGCCCGTTGGCGCCATCGGAGGCCTATGGCCGCAAAATCGAGATGTTGGAAGGCGCGGACTGAGATGGTGAGTCTCTGCCCCGATACTACGGTGTCCTCAATGTAGCGCGATCAGGTGCGCTCAGACAGGCGGACTACGAAAGACTGGCATTTACTGATCGTGCAACCAAAGCCTTGGACTCACCGCCGGCAAGGGTTTCGTCGAAGTGCGGAGCAGAAGAACAGCCGAGGAGTTGGCGTCCTTAGCCAAAGACCTGGAGAAGCTGAGTGGCTGTGACGACCGTCGGGGGACCAAATGCCGAGATGTGCGGAGCCCAAGAAGTTCTAAGAGCGTGCCGCGAGGTCGCGAAGCCGACGTGGCGGAGCTCTGGAAGTCCTTGGAGCAGAGGGAGAAGGAGCATCAGACTAACCTGGAGAAGGCGATGTATGCGATTACCCGCCGAGATCTTTCCCCCTCCCTGTCCTGTCGGCAGCTCTCTGCGCCCCACCCCCGTTGGAGGTGATTAAGGAGTTCCGAACGGAGGTCGTGGCCTGCGAGTTTTTGGCTTGGCATCAGATATCAGGAGCTGCGCTTCCCCACACGTGGCATGCTCCGCTAATCACGAGGTCCCGCACCGCGGAGGTGGTGCAGGGTCCGGTTCTCAGCTGTTTGGTCAAGGACTCAGGAGTCAGGACTCCAGGAGGCAGGGCGTGTGCTCCTGCCGCCAGGCTGCACGGTGAACATGCAGCGGCAAGATGCTGGCCTGGCCGACCTCTTGCGCAGGCAAGGGTGGGGGAAAGGCGGGGAGTTGAACTGCTCCTGGCTTCCTAGTACTGCCCACAGGCTCGACGCAGAAGTGAAGCGCCTAGAAGAGGGCCTCCAAGCTCAGGCACAACCGATAGGTTCAGGGGTGTCAGGATCCTCCTGTTCGGTCAGTGTGGCTCGAGGCAACCACCGTGGTGGCTTCCATCCGCCGTGGACTCAGTTGACTCAGCTTCGGCCGGCTCCTGACTGCACGACTACGCCGAGGCTCAGACGAGGCTTCGCTTGAGCTTTGCTCTAGACCCTAGAAACTCCAACTCGTGCGCTTCGAAGCCGAGTCCAAGCCCTGTCCTTCCGCAGGGCGCGCGGCTGCGGGCTTTGGAGGTAGAGGTGACGCAGCTGGCGCGGCAGAGGACTCCCTGGAGCTGTGAGAGTTCTCGGGAGTGTCCGGGCTTTTGCTGCTTCTGTCCCTGCTCTCTTCCGGCATGTCCCAACGCCAGGCAAGAGCTCCTCGAGCGCCGGGGGCCCGCTTGAGCCTGATCTCAAGACAGCACCTGTATTTCTGACCTGGTTGAGGTCTAGACCAGGAGGGCAAAGATCGCAAGGCGGGCTGAAACAGTCTCAACTGACACTGGGCGACGGCTTCTCACGAAGCCTACTAGAAAAGGCTAGTAGCACCTGATTCCGGGTGGGATGACCACATGAAAGCAGCCATGAATCCTAGACCCTGTGGGCCTGTGGATGTAGTGGGCTCCGGTGTCTTTGATTGTACTTGGCCCATGCCAGGCCGAAGTGGAAGGCTGCGCGGGTGGTGCGGAGAAGCGCGTGGCCGTGCCGTCCTCGGCTGCTTTACAGCCCAGGAAGGTTTATTTGAGAGATCTTTAGCTATGCAGGCAGTGGAGCTGGTCGCCAACGCACGCTTCGAGCACGAGCACTCAGGTTCCAACGGTTCGGAAAGGTTGCGAGCGACTGCGACGGAGGTCTGTTCGGCGTGCCTTGGACGAGCTGGTCGCCGAGTTCCAGGGCTACGCGGAGCTCTCAGCCAGCTTGAAGTCGAGTCGAGACCCAGGCTATCCCAGGGTTGTGCGGCGGGGAGTGCAGGTGAAGACCGAGAATGCTCGCTCCATGGACGTGGCTCGCTTGGAAGCCCTTGCACTGCTGGCATGCTTGCGATGCTTGCGTTCGTGAGGGGCGGAGGGAGAGAGAGAGCGGTGCGTTTCCTGTGTGGGGGAGAAGGAAAAGGCCTTCGTCAGAGAGATAGGCCTAGGGCTGATAGGAGGCTTGCAGGCTGAGGGTTGGTCACGGTGTCACGCCAGGTGCGCGCCTTGGAGGCCCGCGAGACCTCGTGGGGGAAGCCGCGAGCTAGAGACAGAGGCTGACGTTTTCTTGCCAGGTCCGCGTGTGGCCCTGGCGCAACGGTGCGAAGGAGCGTGGCAGCTCGCCGGATGGGCCCAGCGCGAATGGGTCGGGAGCCAAGGGATGGGACGGCTCCAAGTGTTGGAGGTTTCGAACTGCTGTCGGGCATACCTGCCCTCTCACTCCTAAATCCTGAGGCATCCGCCCTGGTCGGAGGCAGGGCCCGAGGGAAACTGAAGCAAGAAATGCTTCGTAACCATGCGACCATCCACTGAGGATCCAGCCGACTGGCGCGACTGGATCCGCACAAAGCGACCGGCACCTCCGGCGCAGTTTCGACACATCGTTGGGCCGTGGGTTGTACAAGCGTGGAGCACCATCATGGCAGGTCACAGCTCGCCCCGCCAGGCGCGGGGAACCAAAGGACAGCCTCTCCAAAGTACCCTGGTCACTGAATGACGCCATGCCGTCCAAATCGCTTCGCTAGAGGACCCTCTGTCGGGGTGAAGCACTCGGAAAGAAGGGCTGCCCCAAAGCTTTCGAGTCTTGAGCCCAGCGCGACAGATTGAGGCTGGCAGGATCGCCAGTCGGCACAGCCATGACGGCAGTGCGCTCTGCACGGTGAGAGCCCTGCTGGGGAAGGGAGCGCAGCAGCGCAATGCAGGCGTCTGAGTCTGAGCCTGAGCCACTGAGCCGAGGCCGGGAGGAGAGCGAGCCGAGCGAGCCGAGCCGTGAGCCCATTACGCAGTGAGGAGGAGGATTACGCCCTATGCCCTGATACTTCCAATTCTGTCGGGCCGCTGTTAAACAGCAGCCGAGCTGGAGTCCGCCGGGCGCGAGATGGCGCAAGTAGAATCTGCATCGCTTGTGCGAGAAGATCTCCGCAACGAGCGTGTAAACGCAAAGAGCGAAGGTTGGCGTTGCCTAAGTCTGGCAGATCACCCGCCGTTTCCACCTGCCACAAGCACAGCAGGGGGCAACTTACACGCAGAACAGCCACAAAAGAGGGGCCGGCTTCCATGGCATAGGTATTGTGGTCTCCACGTGAGGGCGTGCAGGGCGCTGTCCTTGTTCCCCGCAAGAGAAACCGAAGATTTCTGTATCTGCTTCGCTTTCATGCAACAGCAAAGTCAGGTCAGAGAGATCGAGCGAGAGAGCTACACGTGATACGAAAGAATGCTCCCTCGATCACAGCCGTATCCGCAGCCTGCTTGGAAATGTTCTTGAACATACACAGAATCCACGAAGAGAGGCTAGACCAAAGTCCCAATGTCGTTCTTCGGCAACTTCCACGACGGGCATGAGCAGAAATTAAGACTACATGCATGTGCAGGACTGCAGGTTACTCTGGATTCTTGAAGATTCATCGAATCGAAGTTGTGGGCGCGACCTTTCAGCACGTTAATCTCGCGCGACAGCGGCAAGTTGCCACGCCTCAACATGGGCTGCGGTCTCAACCCTCGTGGTTCCCGTGGGAATCGGAGCCCGCCGTTGCTTTGAGGTTCCGGCGTCGGGAAGGTGACATCTGAGACTCAAATCCAGAAGGCCGCTCGGAAGCGGGAGTGCTCCCAGATTCGGCGCGTGCCGGTAAAGAGAAGACAGGAAGGGCAGCATGAGACGACACAGCAAGAGCCAGAGTCAGCATCCTGGTCTCAGAGTCATGATTCCAAAAAGCAACTGTGGAGGTCGTGGAACTGGACTATGGGCCAGAAAACACCGCCTCGACCAGCAGCACCTTGGCTCTACATCACTCGTGTTCAGTGCTGATCCGCTTGTGAGCCTGTTGCCCGTTCGGCTCAGGTACGTCCCATGCTGCGAAACGGTTTCAGGGAGCCGGCTGCTCGAAGGAGCACCAGTCTTGGAAGCTCCTCTGGGCAGAATGCCCAACCGCCCGAGGCGCAGGGAGATTTCGTGCCGCCCAACGCGATTTCCAATCTCGAGGCCCTACCTTCCGGACCCGAATGCTTTCTGGCTATCCGCTGCTCGGCCTTTGGCAGGGAAAGCAGACCCTCGCGGAGCGGGTCGAAGCGCTGGAATGGATGGTGCAGCAACAGGCCGCAAGTTCCGACGGGTTTCAGGTGGTTTGGGGTGTAGTTGGTTTGGGGCTTGGACGGAACTGCAGCGAAATGGAATCTGTGTGAAGCGTGTTGGACTGAAACATGCGGTGTTGCTCTTTGCGTGTCGTCAGCCGTGCCTTCGTCAGGCCCAGCAGCTGCAGCAAATGACGAAGGCGAGAGTCGGCTGTGCAATGGGGAGACCTGGCGAGAGCTCGCTTGGGGTCGAAGCCCGCGCGCGTCGAGGCACTGGAGGGGGTCCAAAAGGATGTCCGCCGAACCGTGTCCGTGATGCAGTACAACATCCTGGCCTCGTGCGCACAGTGCTTGAAGCTTGGAGAGTGCAGCAAGCAAGGAGCTTCGGTCACTGTGGAGGTACCTGGGCAAGAACACACAGCCCTGGTTTCTCTATGGTGCGGACATCAGCCCCGAGGCGAAAGGCTTCTTGGCCCATGCTTGGCCTCTTCGGCTTGTCCAGCCCTTGCCAACAGGAGCGGGAGAGGATCTTCGCCCGCTTCAACGAACGAGGCCCTGATGGCACGTGCGAGCCCCGGAAAGGACCCCTTTGGAGTTCGGAGAGCAGCTCAGTCTTGCAACGGTGGCTTAGAAAGGCGGAAGTCCTTAGGCGGACGTACTCAAACACGTACGTCCGTGCCGCACAATGATTAGAGCCAGAAGTCGTCCACTGTAGGGGTTGAGGACTTTGCAGGAAGGCTTTGGACCGAACTGCCCTGCGGAGAATTGAGATGGACGGTGTGCGGCAATGATGGGTTAATGTTTAAGTTTAAGTGATCCGACCTCAAGGTGACATGAAATAGGCAATTTTGGGTGGTTCACTGACAATTCAATAGCAGCGCGAAGAGAACGTACGAGCTATGAGCTTGCTGTGCAACGTTGCAGACATGAGCTCGTGCCCGACAACCACGGTAAGGCCGAAACACAGGTGGCCGGATTACGCCACAGGCCCCCCGGGGGCCGTGACATGAGTCTCGCATCGAGCTCTCCCCTGTGAGCTTGGTCTGGAGGCATCTTGCGACCCGAGGAGATCACAGCCGTAGAGCAGTACGACACCTTCTTCAGGCCAGGGCTAGGGGCGGGTCAGATCAGTATGGGAAGCGGGTTGTGAGTGTGTTTGCCCTGAGGTGGGAGTTTCGACGGCAGAAGCTTCTGGAGCAGATCGAGATCATGGATCCAGACGTGCTGTCGCTGGTGGCGGCCGCGGTTTCTGCGAGAGAGCCTGGTGCAGCCTGCATGTGCAGGTGGAGCTGGATGATCACGGTTTTTTTGCCGAATGCCTCTGCGACGAGTGGGACCCCAGTCCTGAGCGCAACATCGATTCGCTACCGGCCCAAACCCTCGCTCGCCCAACCTTCCCGAAGGACCTTCCTCTTGACTTGGGCAGGACTCCGTGTTCCGCAAGCGGCCGAGGGCCTCGTCCGCAGACGGCTGCGGCATCTTCTGGCGGAGGTCGAAGTTCGAGTGTCTGGCCTCGGAGGCGCGACGGTCGGTGTGAGCATGCGAATCCCTCCACCCTTCTTTTGCGCCTTTGTCTCAGGGTTTCGACATGGTCGATGGCAACGATGCAGCGCCCCCGGCAGAGGCACCATTGTGGAGCTTAGTTCTGGTGTTGGGACTTCGCTAGGACAAGGGCCGTGAGAAACGGGACCGGAGCTGCGTGATGGCCCGGAGCCCAGAATCTGCAAGGCCGGCGGTGTGGCTGTGTGATGAGTCTTGCTGTGGGCTAGTTGCTTTGACTCAGATTCGTTCTCAGGGCCTCCCCCTCTCTCTCTCTCTCTCTCTCTCTCTCTCTCTCATCTCTGACCCTCTCTCACTCCCTCCTTGTCTCGTGGCAAGAGGTGCTGCTCAAGTGGCGTGTGGCTGGCCCGCACATCCTACCGTTAGTGGTTGTGTCCACGCATCTTGCCAAGGAGCCGGGTTGTTGCGATACAAGCCAAGAGTCCAAGAGGCATCCCGTGTCTGCTGCCCCTCCCTGACAGCAGGATCCCTACAACAAGGCGCAGACGGCCATCCGAGTGCGGCAGGCGCGAGAGTTGGTGAGAAAGCAAGCTTCCCAGATCCCTAAACGAAGGTGACACAGATCATGGACAGCTTGACAAAGTTCACCTCAAAGCACAAGGCCTGTGTCATCCGAAGCATCCCGGTGTTTGCAGCATTGTCGTTGTGATCAGTTCAAGATGGTCGGCCAGGGGCACCCAAACTTCTCGTGTTTTTCATTGCTATCTACTGTCAGAGCAACCTGCATTTCTCCGTGATTGAGCTAGCAATGAATCAGCTTTGCTTATGGACACATGGACATGGGTGTAGTAGTACCAAATTCGCGCACCGCACCTCGTCTTTCCGAGCACGTCATCTCGTGTCCACATCGAAGTTCACTTCTTGGTACCGGCCGTCAGCTTCCATGGTGTAACCTCAGTGGGCGCTTCAGCGAGGCCTTTGAGCTGGTTTCGCCACTCGAAGTATTCGCCACACCCGAAAAGCTGCATCCTCGCAGGTGCCAGAGGGCCGAAACACGGATTAGCTCCCTCGCACACTACGCCTCACTCTGCTTCCTCTCCTGTGTCCGTGTTTTTTCTTCCTGGTGGGATGATGGCAGTATGACAGTGTGGCACTATCCCTCCGTCAGTTGCCGAGCTGCGGAGGCCCGGCACTGCCCGGTGGTCCTGCTGGGGGACCTCAACGCGCGCCACTTCGGAGAGATCCGGGGGCCCGGCACCGAGAGCCGAGAGAGCCGAGAGCCGAAGCGTTGACGGTTTGCTGGCCTGGCCGATGGCCGAGGATCGCACGCACGGCCGGGGCCTTGATGCGCAGAGCTCTGCTCTCCGCCTGGCATCTGCTGGCATGTGCTGGCTTCACAGTGCCATGAGCTTCCGATGTTTGGCTCAAAGATCTACTCTCAGGCCCTACTCCACCGCGAGTTTGAACATATGTGAGGATGGCTCGGCGCGCGCCGCATGGCAAGGACGGAAAGGAGGAAAGCGTCGTCGACTGGATGAGATTGCTTTGGCCCATCCTGCCCGAAGTTGGCGAGCCGGGCAAGGAGTCGTCGCAGTTGTTCGTTTCCAAGTTCTTTTTACAAGTACTATAGTTCACAGTCTCCCTGGGAAGCCGGGATTGCCATGCATAGATGCGTATCAGGTTGTGAGGAACAAGTCTCGTGTGTTAAGCACGGCAGAACCCCACCGTTGCAAGTGAGACCCTGAGTATTCTATAACATCACTGCATCATCAGCATTCTAGTTTACTTGTTTGATGCCAATGCTTTTCGTAATCAATAAAGTATGAAAACTATTGTAAAAGATATAATATGACAATACAGGTTGAGAAAACAACCATGGATCTTAATGCTAAGCATTTCCCTCCTCATTATTGTGACCAGCAATGTGTTAGATGTAAAGAATGGAAGACTTTAGTGCATTTCAAAAGATATTACTATAGCAAAAAAGATAGGTGTTTAATGCAATATAGAACCATGCTTACTTGTTGTGAATGTTCGAATGCCATGAGAGAAGTGAACTAAAAACATAAGTATAATTTAGGCAGCTCGTTTCAGAGTTTTTGAAATATACATTTATTATGATTACAACCTTTGCAACTAAACCTAGTAAAATATCTATGAGAGCACCTTTGCCCACTTTGGGCTGATAACACCACCTTAGGGAATATGGACGGGGTAATCGGTTATTCCTATACTGGTCTTGGTCATGGGGAAGTAGTGGTGATATTTCGGGGAAGTGTTAGCGAGTATAGGAATAATCCTCTTATATGGATGAGGTAATCGGTTATTCCTATACTAGTATTGGTAATGGGGTCGTGGTGGTGATATACTTGGCGAGATGTTATCATCACCCAAAGCGGGCAAGGGTTCTGCTAACTGAATTTGGGGTGCCACTTTCAATTTCCATGCCTAGGGCCTAGAACGTGCATGTTCGAAGCGTTGTCCATCTGCACGACCCGAGCGCAGCTCCGCGGCTCCGCATTGCCTGCTTTTGCTTCGAGGACTTCGGATCCACGGCCGAAGAGGATGGCGAGGCCCCGGGGAGTGCAAGAAAGCCGCCAAACAACAAAAGTAGCAGACAACCACAGCTGCTGCACTGCTGCACTGCTGCAGCCTACTTCCAGCTGAAGCTGCCGCGGCCCGGCGAGGTTCGGGCGCGGCCCCGCCGGCGACGGAGTCCCAGTGCCCTGGCCTATGTTGCGGCCTTTGGGACCGTCCTGGGCCACCTGTGCATGCTCCCCGTTGTGCATTACGCCAACTTGAGGTTTGCAGGTGTTGAATTGAGACTGAGCCGTGTCCTTGCTTCTGCTTAATGTTCCTGTCACTGCCATGCACACGCAGCAGGTGGCAACAGTGTACTGTCAGCTTTGACTGTAGCAATCGCTTTCAGGATTCTGGCCATCACTTGGATGAGCTTCAAGTTTAGCGAGCAGCAGGCTGAGAAAAGGGGTATCGGTATCGGACCATGGCTTTCTGTTCTGTTCGTGCTCTCCGGTCTTGCCCGCTTAGGCAGCACGCCAAACTCGAGGATCCGCTGCGGCAGCTTCGATACTACCTGACTCTGCGACCTGTCCGCAAGGTCCCAGAGGCCATGGTCGGGATTTTCTGGCTCCGCGATGCAAGGCTGCTGCTTCCAATCGTGCTGTACACCACCGGCAAGAACTGGCATGCCGGGACGCATTTCCCAATGACTGCCTCCTCCAGCTTGCAGGTGCTAAGCTGCATGGTGCAACGCTCCGCTCCCCCCCCCTTGGGCGCCACAACTTAAAATGAGATGTCGGGAGGTTCTGAGAAATCGTCCCATGGAGCCTCCTGCTTCTGAGCTCACTGGCGGCGATGTCTACTGCATGCTGGCCAATGGAATCTTCTTCTGCACCTCGCCAGATGTCTTCATGAGGCTCCGGTCTCTAGGACTCTGAGATGCTTAAACCGGTGGATTGTCGTGGATGGTTGTTCAGGTTACCTGTTCCTCTGGAACCTGGTGCTTCTGCTGCAACGGCACCGTGATAGGGACGTCTTCGATCCATCGGCCCACCTGTTGGTGCCGCTCTGCGTGGGCAGCGCTTTGCTGAGAGCGAAGCCCACGCTGCTTTGCTTCCTCTTCTTCGGGATGGTCTGCCTGCTTTTCGCTTGCCTCCTGCTCCTCTCTGGGCTCCTGGCAACCATCGCCCTGCACCTTGGCCGCCTTGGCCGGCGGAACGAGATGCGGGCGATGCGGGCGGGATGCACGCTTGGACGCCGGTTTCGATTTAACCCGTACAGACCCGTAGCTGCCACTGAGGCTGGTTTGGATCGGCGTGGGCTTCCAGGGGCCACGCAGCAAGATCAGCATGTCCCTGGATCTTGGATCAGCCTACGAAGTACTAGGCAGGCACCGAGGGAGAGAGCTGGCTGTGGCATGTTACCTGACCTCCTGCGAGCTTTGAGGCTTCTTCTACAATCACATGTGAGCAAACAGCCTCTGATGACGCGTCCAACAAGCTGCAAAAGGGATCCAGATATGCATGCTCTGGGAAGTTGAAATGTTGCAGCTGTTGCTGAAACCAGCCTTGCTGAGGTGTGGCAGATCAAAGGGGAGCCCATCCACAAGTGAGCCTCATCAACGCGAGATTCAGAGACTCAGCAAAAAAACCGCTGTGGGCTGATGCCAGGTTCCTTTGGGGTGCCACAGATGTCAACACGGGACCGACTTCGGTGACGAAGGCCTGATGTGGTCATGTCTTCCTGTCTCCGTACCTGACGCAGGAGCCACTAGTCTTGGCATGTATCTAGATCCACATTCACATGGGGGCTGTCTTTTAAAACCGGTCTCCGTAAGTTTATACTAACCTCAAATCGACTACATAAAAGTATGCAAAATCCTCGCGCGCGAAAGGTACGCGAAAGCGGCGCGGAAGAGATGCGAAAGGGAATTTCCTAACAAGTGAGGGCAGGCGTGTTTTGGCTCGCCTTTACTGGTCAACTTCTTGTTGACTCTCGTATCCGTGCTATTTTTGGACAGCCCATCACAAGACTGGCTTTGCAGCGGTCGGTACACTCATCAGGCTTGATTCGTAGTTTGGTGCGGCTAGTGGGCGCCATGGGATGGCAAGTCGAGCCTCGGATCTAGTTGTCGGGCACAAAAGTGGGGACTTCAATACAGAGACTCAGCATGGTCAACTGTATCCTGAAACTCCTACGGTCGCAGGATCTGATAAGAAATCGGGTTCCTAGAACGAGGGTCTAGACATTTCTTATTCACCTGGGATAAAATGAGAAATCTGGCTGGGAAGCAAAGAAGTGTTTGAAGCGAAGAAGCTTCTACAGGGCAACATGTGGGTCTGGACAGGAAAACGTGCCTATCTCGCCAAGATAGGACGATTTTGGGCTTTGGGCAGGCCACCACAAAGCAGAATCGCCTTATCCCTCCGAGATACGACGATTTCGGGTTTTGGGCAGGCTTCCACAGAGGAAAACATGCTTATCTCGCTATCTTTGGGCTTTGGGCAGGCTTCCACAAAGCAAAATCGCTTTATCTCGTCGAGATAGGACGATCTTAGGGTTTGGGCAGGCCTCTACAGAGGAAAACGTGCCTATCTCGCCAAGATAGGACGATTTTGGGCTTTGGGCACAAAGCAAAACCGCTTTATCTCGTCGAGATAGGACGATCTTAGGGTTTGGGCAGGCCTCTACAGAGGAAAACGTGCCTATCTCGGAAAGGGTTTGGGCAAGCCACCACAAAGCAAAATCGCCTTATCTCGCCGAGATAGGACGATTTTGGGCAGGCTTTCACAGAGGAAAATATGCCTATCTCGCCAAGATAGGACGATTTTGGAATCGCCGTATTTCGCCGAGATAGGACGATTTTAGGGTTCGGGCAGGCCTCCACAGAGGAAAACGTGCTTGTCTCGCCAAAGGTTTGGGCAGGCCACCGCAAGCAAAATCGCTTTATCTCGCCGAGATAGGACGATTTTGGATTTTGGGCAGGCCTCCACAGTCGCCAGGATAGGACGATTTTGGGGTGGCCTCTACAATGCAAAATAGGATGATTTTGGGTTTTGAGATCGGCAGGCTCAGGCGGGCCAGGGCAGTTCCAAAACCACGAAAAAAGCGCTTTTTGAAGCCGCGGGAAGCTCAAAATGGTTGTTTTTGGAACTGGTCGGCCAAGCAGAGCAGAAGGGCCGAGCAGAAGGGGGCGGCGAGGAGGAGCCTGGTGAAGAGACATGAAGAGACCCTCTCTAAATCTTAGTTTTTTGCTTGTGACAGCCAGCATACAGGACCCTTTGAGTGAGAGAGCTGTATGGCCTGTAAACATGATCGTCCTTAATCTGCATTCCTTGCACAGCTCCTATCGGATGTAAGGACCCTCGGGAAACATTTTAGAGCCGCGTACTGTGTAATGTGTGGTCTAAGAACTATAAGAGTTTCTCTGCAGCTTTCGGAGATGCTTCTGCGCCCGAGTTATGTTGAAGTGTTCTTGTTTGTTGCATTTTTCCTCGCACGCGAAAGAGCGCGGAAGCTACGCGAAAGCGGCGCGGGAGGGGCTGCTTCTGGGAGAAAGAAATATCGGGATAACACCCACATGTTCCGTCAGCTTTTTACAGGTTGCTGTTGGCCCAAATTTGAGTTTGGGCCAGGCCATTTGCACAGCTGAGAGTTTTCCCACCGCCTGGGAGAAGTCGTGCTACTTCATCTGTGAGCGCGTTCTCGGCGAGTGAACGCATGCGAACACGCGCAACATAGCCTTGAGACGCTCGAGCTGAGAAATCTGAGAGACCACTCCGGCCCTGAGGCACGGCACTGCCGCATCGACGTGGTCCAGTACCTCAGCAGCCACATGGAGGCCTGGGGCCGACGGACGGGAAGCGAACAGAGCAACTCACAGCTCTTGGCAGAGGTCTTGGACGTGATGCCCGTGCCGAAGCTGGAACCCGGGGAGGCTCAGCTCTCAGCTCTCTCCCAAAAAGGGAGGGTAACGGATCGTACATTCGTTCGCAGGCGCGCTTGTGTGTGTGTGCGCGCGAGAAAATCTCCATATGCTCGCCTCCGCATGTGGCTCGTGGTAGTCTCGCGACACAGTCTCCAAGCTTCAACAACAAATTCGTGACAAGACAGACCATCATGCTTCCGTGTGGGCTATGGCCTGCAGCGTGTCCCGGTGCTGTTGGGCAAGTAAAGGCACCCTGTGGAGGGAGGAGGACAGGCACGGACAGACTTCCAATGGCACTGCTATGCCCTGGAAGGCCACTCGCTACAGTGGATCCAGCGACACGCCAAGGACCGCTGGGTGCAACGCGCCCACGAGCAGATGTACAGGCGCGGAGCCTTGCGGAGCCACAGCAGCGGCCGCCTTGCGCCTTGCTGCAGGTCCCGGGCCGCTTTCAAGCTGAAGCAGCTCGATGAGCAGTACAAGCTCTTCAACAGGAGAGGGACAGAAAAGAGAGAGAGGCTTCGGGCTGAGGAGTCTGAGGAGCAGAGAGGGAGAGGGAAGGAGAAACTTCACAGATGGAGATGCGCCCGCCGGAGGGGCGAAGAGAGCTTCGTGAGAGGAGCTCCGTGGTGTTGGACCTGGGCTGCTACGCCGGCGGCTGGTCGCAGGTCGCGGTGCAGCGCACCGCCGGGCGAGAGGCGCTCGTGGTCGGGGTGGCCCCTCGGATCGCTTCGTCTAAGAATCCAAGATCTGGGTTGAGAGTGGTGCGGCGGAGACCCCCCACAGTGTCTCGAGGACAAGGTTCTCATGGAGCCTCTGGAGGGGCACTACTTCGTTCAGGGAGACATTGAAGACGTGGGCACCGTGAGGCGGGTGGAGGAATGATTTGAATGAGGGAAAGAGTGTGCGGTGCGGCCGCGAGGCAGGTGGAGGAGCTCTTGGCCGGGCGCCAGGTGGCGCGGCATGTCCTCTGCCTCTGCCGCTCTCTCGATCGCTTTGCTCTCGCTCTTGGCTCTTGAAAGGCCACTGTGGTGCTCTCGGACCTGGCCCCAAAGATGATCGGCATCGCCATCGACGACCACATGGCCTCGGTGGAGCTCAGCAAAAAAGCCCTGCGCTGGGCCTTGCAAGGAGCTCGGCCAGAGCAGGAAAGACAAGACCCAAGACCCCCTCTCAGTGCCTTCATCACCTCCGCCTCCGCCTCCCAGGAAGTTTTTGCGGGCCGAGGGCTGCCTCGCTCCTCGGCCAGGAGTGCTCGAGTGCTCCGCTCTGCCTCGCTTCTCCCATGAGTCCGACGAGTCCGAGGTTCTGAAGGTCTTCCAAGGAGGGGCCCTGGAAAACTTCAAAGCGGAGATTCTGGAGCACTTTGCGAAGGCGGCAAGGGAAGCTCAAAGCTTGCGGTGGCACAAGAGCCTGTGCAGCTGCGCAGGTGAGGACCGCCAAACCGAAGGCCTCGAGGAGTGAAAGTGTGGAAGTCTACTTGGTGTGCCAGGGCTTCTTAGGACGACTCTGACGAGATCGGAACTGATCCGAATCCGAGCCTTCTGTCCTTCCTCCTGCAGCTGGCGGGCCGGGAGCAGAGAACACGCCCACGACCAAGCCCAGGGCATTCGAGGAGAGACGCGAAGCTCGGACGTCGGCGCTCCAAGCCTGCGAGTCGAGGGCGGTGCAACGAAGAAAAGAAGTGCGAAGAAACGGTCCCCAGGGAGCGCTAAAGGCCTCGTAAGCCCTGCGACTGCGACGGAATGCAGGTCATCCCGAACGAGGACCATCCCTCAGACCACTTCCCCGTCTTCGTCACCTTCACCCTGAAGGACGGTCACTGAGCCGCGGTACACGTCCTGTTTCGAACGGCGCGAGAGGACAGCTACGAGAAGCACCGTGACTGCGCCAGGCGGCATAACGTCTCCTCATCTCTTTCCTTTGAGCTCTTTTCGTTTCTTCCCTTCCACCCAGCACCCAGCATTCTCAGGGCCTGGTTGGAGTGTGTGGCGGGCCGGGAGAAGGCCGGAATGTACATGTTGGAGCCTCAGCAGCCCCAAAGCACCGACGGCGCGCAGGTCCATCCGCTCACGGACGAGGAGCTCCGTGATGCCTTCGAGCGGGATCCCAAGAATCAGGTTCCCAGTGCCCAGCAATCCAGCATGATCCAAACAGCTGAGAGCATGCAACGTGTGCCTGTGCACTGCGACGGATGCCAACACTGCGAGCAGGATCAGGAAATGACTTCTGAGACTGTGAGTCTCCTTTTGCAAAGCAGCTGCCATTTCTTGCAGACTAGGTTCTTCGACCGCGACCGGCAAGAGTGCATCCATCGCCGGGACTTGGAAGAAGCTTGCAGCGGCCTTGATGGGACTGGCCACACTTGCGGAAAGCGGGTCTCTTTTCTGGTATCGTGTCCCAGGTTTCTGTACTCATGCATGTTGCAAGGTTTGGACCTTCGCTGTAACTTCAGCGTGGATGCTCGGTGCTCGGACCGTCCAGCATCTGCAGACCTTGCAGCTCGCACCGATACTTTCAGAGGTGCCGAAGTTGCTGGTCGACTGCTTCCCAAACAAGCAGCTCTTCGTCTGCAAGTCTCGATTCGCAGATTCTGCTCTGTACACCCCCCTGCCCTGTCGTCCCAGGATTTCCTTCCAGAACTTCTTGCGTGCCTACGAGGCCCCGGCGGGATGACGGGGGATCTTTTCCCAGACAAGCCGCGAAGAGCAGCGGCAGCGGGGCCCCGGGGGGGGCGGCTTTGGGATTCCCAAGGCCAGCCTCGGCTCGGATCGGATGCGCGCAGTTGGAGACCTCGAGCCGCCCGGCGGTCGGAGTTACGTAACCGTTTTCCGAGGAGGGGTCTGCGTTTTAAGTTCTCTTAGAGCGATCCTGTCTTGCCTCCATGTTACTTGTATTCCGATGCTCGTACTGCAGTGCCATCGTGTGGTTGTCATGGTTGCGCTGGTAGTAATCATCAGGGTCTCTGTCGGTCCGGTTGTCTTGCTGCTGCTGATGCTGGCGCTGATACTGATCCTTCTGATCGTGACGATGGTATCGAGGTATCTATGGCGATGACAGTTCTGAGCGCATTTGCATGGTTGCTGGTCTGTTTGCTGAAGGTGTGCCTTCCGCTACTTCGCGGGGGAGAAGGATTCCATCGAGATCGACACGCTTGAGGCCGGGCATCGAGTGCGACGCACCTCTAGCACAACCAAAGTCTTGAATTCACATGCAGACGGCTTTTCGAGCAGTTTGCGTGCAAGGAGGTCCCCATGCCTACAGCACGAGCGCCCCATTCCGGGAGCAGAAACCTGCTACGTAACTCAGCCTATGCACACAAGGCAAACTGCGAAGCTTGCTACCTCCACGCTTGACAAGTCATTAGCGAACCGACCGGTCGGTCTGTCTGAACAGTGGTCTCCAAACTGAACCCTTAACCCGATGCAAGAAAAGCTTATTTTTTAGCGAGTTTTCAGAAACTCAGCACCTGCACCGAACTAACAAAAGCTACACGGGTGCCAAATCTGAGCTTCCCAGCCCAAACTGGGGACCAGAAGGTTCCGCAACTAAAAACTACTTGCTCAAGCACATTCCTCACGGAGTCGGATGAGCCGAACTACGAGCAAGACTCCACGCAGCAGAGAGTCAAACGTCACTGCTTCACTACATTGCCCTGAGCCTATTCCTCTAGGGGTTGGAAGAGGCAAACTACAGGGTAAATCCCACACAGTCACAACACAATGCTCGCTTCAAGCCGCTCTTCTCCGACACCTCGTTGGCATCCTTGTCCATGTCCGGAGTGCACGCGAACTGGGTCATAATCTCCACAGTCTTGAAGCCTACCTCGCCCCGCACAATCTTCACTTCTTCAAGCTCTGCGGCAAAGCCTACCAGCCCGTGTGGTGAGGCAATTCGGGCCATAGACCAGGACCACCCAACCTTACAAGATTGATACGGGCGAGCATTGACGGGATGCCGACAACGGACAAGGTGGTGGGTGCTGACGATGACAATGACAGTGCTCATGAGTCATGAGAGCAAAAACGGAGACAAAATCGTCACCCAGTGTGACCGTGGGTTGTTTGCAGGGTTTTTCAGGGTCGAAACCTGGACTCAGCCGATTACCAGAGCTGGCCAGACCCGAACCGTAGTCCTAGTCACGTCCATGGTCTGGTTTCGGTGCTTTCCAGCAATGTTTCGACACTTTGTTCGCAATGAAGCAACAAAACGGCCCTTTGCTGGGCAGGCGGCCTTCCGGGAGATCACCCCCATCAGCTTCTCTGACGATGAGGTGAAGGCTCGGGTCGGCGTAGAGTCCACGGCTCAATGGTTTGAGAAGATGGCGTTTGTCGTTCGCATTTCGAGGACATGATCGGCCGGGTGGCTCAAGACGGAAGTCCGTACGGAAAGGCAGCACCTCAAGAGTCATTTAATGAAGTACAGTTCCTTTGTCTCTCTTCTCTCTCTCTCTCTCTTTCTGTCTCTGTCTTTGTCTCCCTCTCTGTCTGCTCTCTCTCTCTGTCTCTCTCTCTCCCTCTCTCTCTCTCTCTCTCGCCCTCCCTCCCTCCCTCCCTCCCTCCAGGCATCTGTGCATCTCAAGGACTTCTGCGAGGCCGGGCTCCACATTGCACTTGGCTCCCATTGCTCAGGCAGTAGGTCCCTGGTCCCGGATGCCTTCTGTGCATCCTCCCGGTCTAGATTGCTCCCAGGTGGTCTGCAAGGCCACTTTCCCCAATCGCCAGGCCTTCTCCACAGTCTCGTCCAGTTGGCTGCAGCGTGTGTTGATATGTGTTGATATGTTGAGAGGTCTCCCCAGAAAGCGGAGTTACAGGGACAGAGTCCGAGACGTGGGCCGCCCGGAACGCCACGAAGGAGGGTAAAAGGGCTTGGCAAGTTTTTCAGTTTCTGGGTTTCGAGGGCTTTTTGGCGGCTTCAGGGGTTCAGTCGGCTCAGCTGCAGGAGATCAGCACCCGCTTGACCAAGCTCCACAAGACAGTTTCCGGCCAAGGGCACAGGGCCTAAGTATGTTCCCTCCCCGCAAGCATCCTTGTGTGCCTAAAGCACATTAAGGCTTCATCGCAATGTCAGCAAAAGCGGGGTCCTGAATCGATTGCAACTGTATTGATGCTTATCGTGTTGCCCGGCAAAGTGAGACGAGCTTCCAGCACTGCAGGTTCCAACGTGTCAGAGATGCCGATCCGCATCGACAAGCACCTGGCTCCACCGCTAGTGCATTGACTTCCATAATTCAAAGGCCTCAAGGCGAGATGCATGCTAGTAACGCTGGGCGAGCTCACAGCAACCTCGGGCGACGATGCGTGAATACACTGAATTTATGTGGCTGTTGCTGACGCAGCTCGCCAGCAGAGGTCATCCAAGAGGGTTCGGATAGAACCCAAGTTAGTTTAAACTCTGCCGCAATCAAGCAGGCCTTAAAGGGGCCTGACGTTGAAGGTTTTTGCCGCATGTGACAGTATAGTCTATGAAGTCTCGATGTAGGCAGATCCAAGCAGACAGAGTCTGCGAGGACGCGAAAAGGCGGCTTTTTCGCTGTCTTTTTCCGTGTTTAGCCTTCTTGGCTGGCGGCCTCCGCCGTCAGGCAGGAAGTGCCGGGAGCTTCAGAAAATCTGAGATGCGCCAGGCTTGCTTTCGGAGATCGCCTTAAGGGCAAACCCCCGTTTCAAGGAGCCACGACAAAAGAGTCCTCCAAGGAAGGGAGTTTCGAGGGGAAGGCGACCGGTGGGCAGAAAAATCTGGGAGTCCCTATCGCCGCAGAGTTTGGCTTTAGAAGAGGGGTTCGCCTGGCCCGGCGCCGCGCCCTCTTCAAGGCATGGGCCGGCCCGAATCCCCCAACTCAAAACCCATATCATATCCCCGTTCCGCGTCCTTGCTCAGGCCGCCCTGGAGACATGGCCGAGGCCTGCGTAGCTTGGTTCTCGCAGAGCCACATAGAACACAGAAAGAGCATATGCGCGTAGAAGCAGCCCCATGTGTATCAGAGGTCACAAGGACGGTAAGACCAGGTGCTGCTGTACACGTTTGGACCCACGTGCGGACGAACACGCACGTGCGCATGCAAGCAACCCACCTAACCCACGCACCCACGCGCCCCCGCACCCACGCCCCGGGCACCCACGCACCCACGCACCCATGCGCGCGCACCCACACACACACAGACAGACACAGACACAGACACAGACACAGACACACACACACACACACACACACACACACACACACACACACACACACACACACACACACACACACACACACACACACACACACACACACACACACACACACACACACACACACACACACACACACACACACACACACACACACACACACACACACACACACACACACACACACACACACACACACACACACACACACACACACACACACACACACACACACACACACACACACACACACACACACACACACACACACACACACACACACACACACACACACACACACACACACACACACACACACACACACACGCACACACACACACGGACACACACACACACACACAGACACACACACACACACACACACACACACACACACACAGAACACACACACACACACACACACACACACACACACACACACACGCACACACACACACACACACACACACACACAGAACACACACACACACACACACGCACACACACACACACACACGCACACACACACACACACACACACACACACACACACACACACACACACACACACACACACACACACACAGACACACACACACAGACACACAACACACACAGACACACACAGACACACACACAAACACCACACACACAGACACACACACAACACACACAGACAGACACAGACACAGACACCACACACACACACACACACACACACACACACACAGACAACACACGACCACACACACACACACACACAACAGACACACACACAACACACACAGACACACACAGACACACACACAGACACACACAGACACACACAGACACACACAGACACACACAGACACACACAGACACACAGACACACAGACACACAGACACACAGACACACAGACACACAGACACACAGACACACCACACACAGACGCAACCAGAGTCGAGTCAGCTGTTTTGAGCTTTGAGTATCCGGGACAGTCCTTGATTGGATCACGCTTCGCTTGAAGCTTCGGAGCTGTCAAGGTGGCTTGCTGGTTGGCCGTGCCGTGCTTGCGCGCTACAGCCTCGGATGTTCCTGTGGATGTTTGACTAGCGACCAATGGTACCTTGTACCTCCGTGGTTTCAAAGGAGGCCTGGGCACTCCCGCGCTTCTTTACACAAGATCGGCTCTGCTTCGCATCTCTGAGGTCTGCTGAATGTCAGCTTCTTGTCCCTTGCTGAGGTTCCGGAAAGGTCCCAAAGTCGCGGACCCGAGCGGCTTGGCTGATTGGACCGAGTTACAGTAGGATGAGCGTCATGAAGCAAAGGGAGATCCCAGGCATCTTCACAAGGGGCAGCGCACAAGCCAAAGGCACGAGGGGTACTGTTTTCAGGCGAGTGAATTCGGCTTCGGGCTGAGTGAAGGCTTCAAGTCTTTCTGTCCATACCTGATTCTGAGGGCTCAGGTTTGGAATCGATGGTTGTAGCTGCAGCGTCCGCAGGGCTCCTCATCGTCTTTGCAGAATATGGGAGCACGGATGCAGTTCGCTGTGTTGGTGGGTTCTGAGCTGCGGGCATCCAGACTGAAGCTCTTTTGCTATGCCACCGAAAGCTCTAGCAGGCGGAGGCACGCGAACAATGCCGAGCCTACCGAGAAGCCGTTTACATGAAGGGCCGTTCCATTCTGCTGAAGCGACACGTGCCAGACAGTGTACCTGCGTGGTGCTGAATTGTCTGGCTGCCAGTAGGAAGATACGCGATTACAGACAGTCTGCAGCCCACAGCTGCTTATGGTCACCCTGACGGTATTGCACCTGCAAAGATTTTATTCAAGGGGTGCTGACATGGATCTTCTGAGCTTCATCTATTCATCTATTGCACGAGGATGTATACAAAACTGTTGACTTACTTGGTTATGCATACTTATCTCATCCCATGATATGGCTTCGCACTGTCACAAGAAGCGACCATGTCAACATCCTTCGCCCTCGCAGAAGTGGGCTTGCGTACATACAGTGTTTTTTGGACTGCATGAATTCGCATGAATTCATAACGGATTAGCTACGGCCGTGTGCCAAGTCCGCCTGCAGCCCTGCTGGAAAACGGTTTACGGCAACTTCCGAGACGTGGGGCCAAACAAGCCTTGTTCACGTCCGAGGCATTCTCAACTCCAGCTTTTGATTCTAAGGTCCGACAGGGTACAAACAGATGATTGGTGATTGGTGTTTCAGCCCCCGCGCCCGGTAAGTGTTCCCAAGACCGGCTTCCCTCCTGTACGTTTGAAGCCCCAAGGTGCCGAAGAAACGAATCCCTTCACCTAGGAACTCCCACGGTGAAACCTAATATCCTCAACCACCGATTCCCTCAAGCTTAAAATCTCAGCGATATGGTCGAAAAGCAGGAGGCTGTATCGCAGATCAGCCTGTCAGTCAATTTGCTTGTGGCTCCACAATTCTTATGCTTTTGCCCGCCTTGGAGCTATAACCCTGCCCTAACAGACCATATAGCATTGGCAAGATCTGTGAGTCTATGGTTATCATATATGATAGAATTCGAGCGCAGTGATTTGGGGCGTTTGGTTTTGCAGGCTGAACTGGGTCAGGGATTATAGCCTTTCCATGCCATGGGGGTTGGACACTTCAAAGAGGTACCTGGCGGTATCCTCGAAGAAAGCGGTCTTTCAGGAGGCCATCTGCGAGGATGCCGGAGCCCGAGAATCCTTTAAGGGCCTCCCACACCTTCTCCGCCTCGGCACGAGCATTGCGATGCACGGCAACAGCTGTGGAAAGCTTCGAGCCTGGAGGTGAAGAATTTCGTAGTGTAGCTGTGAGGCCGAGGCGGCAGCTTTAAGCTTTGCAGAAGTAGTGGTTTCAGTGGTTTTAAAGCTTCCTGCATCTGCCCTTGCTCGCTGCGAGCATCCAATTACTGGTACCCGCTTCAGCTTCCATCCGGAGAGCATGCCGCATGCCACTCTTCCTACCAGCGACAGCCTTTAGTCTCCACTTTGCGAGCCTTACAAGAGAGTCTCAGTCAGCCATTCTGATGAGGAAGGGGCCGCCGGTGGGCGCTCCAAACGCAACAAGGACAAGAATGCAGGCAGGCACCATAAACAGATTTTGGATGATTTTGGGATTCGGGTACAGGTAAGAAGCAGATTAGGCTCTTGGGTTCATGGTCGCAAGCTTAGACGGCTTCAAGCCAGGACTCATGCAGCCCCCGGTCTGTTGCAACTATCGCCCGCTCTTTAATTCGCGGCGATCTGTGGCAGCTTACACATGGATTCGTTTCTACCCTTCTACCCTCGCAATCCCTTCCATTGCAGACCATTGAGACCGCAGGCCTCACCTCAAAACGCTTTTGCTTCAGTGTAAGACTGTAGATTTCTAGGAATTCATTCTTACACAGCCCTCGGAGGGAGACAGCGGGGCTTCATCATTCGACAAGAAGTTGAAGAGAGCCCCCTGACACGTGTGCGGCACTTGGCTCCGGGGCAAGAGGCTTTCAACTGACCTGGAGGCTTTGAGTTTGAGGCTCAAGAGTGCCGAAACTTGTGGGCTGAGGCTTTAGTTCAGCGCTAGGGCTCAGGCATTGCAGCCTTCTTGCCGTCGGGCCGTGTTGGCAAGTTCCAAAGTGAAAATGGCGAGTTAACGCACCTTGTCGACACTTTCATTTTAATATCTATGCCCAAACCCAAGAGGCCAAGTATCCTGATGCAACACGCATGCGCATGAAGCCACCAATTGCGCCTTCGCAAATGGAAGTTAAGTTAAGAGCTCGAGGGCTCCGGATGCAGTCCGAATGATGCTTGAAACAGCCTGCCTTGGCCGGTGTCTTGCCAAGGTCGTAGCCTGCTTTAAGGCGCACCCGTCCCTACTCACGCTGCTTATGTTTGGGTTGGATCCCAGGGAGGTGATTCAGTGTGTTCGGAAGTGGAAGCTTCACTGGGCACTGTGCTCTACTGCGGGAGAGTCTCATCTTGAGTCGTGGCCAGCAGCCAACCTGCAATAGCCGCGAATGTCACATTTCAACCCCGGTAGGATGCGGCGAAAAAGCTGATGGACACTGGTATCGTCAGTCGCGTCGATGCGGACGAAGCTGCGAACGTGAAGAAGGCAGACATCCTACAAAGGAAGTCATGCACTCCACTCGGTCATCTGCCGGTGGTTGCGGAAAGAATTCTGGTAGCTAGGAATGCATTCAGATAGGGGCGTGGAGCGCGGTGCGGTTTTTGAATTAAGTCGAGGATATAGGGTCGAATAAAAGGATTAGTAAGGTCTTGGGCGTGTAGTTGAGGCTTCCGTGATGTTTCAGTGTTTGTGCTTTGCTTGGATGCCACTCAAACCTTGAACTCCTGGCACGATTTCTGAGCTATGTCTTTTTGGGGGCTCGTCACGCGAGCATGGTAAAGGCACCCGTAAATTTCACAAGTCCAGATGTTTCCGGAGTCACCAGCTCGTGTAGTAGCCAGCATGAATTCTGCGAGTCCCCCAGTCGTAGTGGGTTGAAGACATGATGCAGTGAAAGGCTGTTGCTGCTTGGTGCAAGAGGGCGATTGTTCGCTGAGGCTCGAAATTTAAGGTCCTCGACGTATTGGACAGGCCCTGCATATTCCAGAATATTCCAGAAGCCATGGCGGAGCAGTCAGCACAACATCTTCACACCTTGCATGCTTTACGCAATCTCATTATCAGACATTCTTGTTGAATAGGGCTCACGGCTGAAGCAGCATGCTCGGCGTTTAGATGATTTGGAATGGGCACTTCCTGTCGCGCGCGGTCTTTTCCATCAGCTGTCTTCTTGCTGCCGGCTCTTCTGAGCTGTGCCGTGCCCTGTGAGCGTGGGTTCGTGGCCGGGGCCCACCTGCAGCCCGGCTATAGCTCTCAGCAGTGCTGCCTTGTTGTACAATGAGCACTTGAAGGCTTGCAAGCCATGGAAGCACAGAAGAGCCGAGGAGGTTCCGAGATGCGGCCCACGCCTCCGGGCAGCCCAGGCAGGCAGTGGAGCGGAAGGCCTCCGGCAGTGGAATGCCAGGTCTCAGCAGCGCCTTGATGGAGGTTCTTGAGAATATTTTGTCTTTGTCCAGTTCTCGCAACCGATCAAAAACAGATTGCTAATGCCTGCTCGTAGAGATAGAAGTTTGAGTTGAAATTCGGTGTAAGAATTTCCCGAAAGCGGTTTTCACGAAGCCCGCGAAGAGCAACCAAGGTGTTGGTGCCGTGAACAGCCTGCTCCTGCTGGTCATTGCTTTGGGATTCCAGGCCCTCGGGTTGACGCAAGGGCCTAGAAGCATCAATTCGACCAGACACTTGAATCTCAAAGCATAAATCCTGCACTGAATTCCTCATCCTGGCTGTCAAAGCATCCCAAACAGCCTCTTCCTTCAAGACAGGCTGTTAGGAGCCGTGCGGCACCCGGCTGGTGGCTTGGACTGGGGGCACACGTGGCGGCAACCACCGCGGTCTGCACTCTCCCGGCACCCCGTGCGGTGCCAGCAGGCAGGCTTCGGAGCCGCCTAAGAACCTTACGGCTATCTGAAAGTTGACTCCTTTCTGGGTAAGCCCCTCCCTGAATCCTAGAATTCGTGGCTTTCCTGGTGCCAGGCCTCCGGATCGAAGCACGATCCAACCTGGCATCTGGGCTACCGCTTGAAGCGCTCAGGATTCCGGCATTCGGCGTTTTGCACGTTGGCCGGTTTTTTTCTGTTAAAGGGGTTCGAATTCGCCAACTGCGGGATGTCGGACTTGTATATATGTGAGCATGGTTTTTCGGGTTCAGTGTTCTGGGACTTAGCCCAAGGGCTTTATATAAACTCGAAACCTTCAGAGCCCCAAGCCCAACACTTTTAACCCTGACGCAAAAAGCCTTAAACCAAAAGACCTTAAACCTTAAACCATAAAATCTCCGAAACCAGAGACATTAGCTTACAATAGGGGCTTATCCGCTGCATCAGCTGCGTTCTGTCACACGGTCGAATTGGATTCTTGTTTCTCGATTCTTAAAAATGTGGTCGGGCTCCTTTGTCCTGGGTTGTTGTTTGCACGGGTTTGCTTTGGTCCTCTGTACTGCAAGTCAAGTGAGTTCACCAGTCTCAGACCGGAGCTCGGGTCAGAGCCCCAGGCCCGAGGTCTCAAGGAGTTGCATCATGAGGGGCCCGAGGGTACCATACCAAAGCAGGATGACTAGGCGACTAGGGTTCTTGCAGAAGGTTCGCAGCCGAGGCAAAATCCTACATCGCCCAAGTGATCCTACTGGCCATGGCGCTTACAAGCCTGTGCCACATTCTTGGGGGCTTTTTGCATTTTGGATGGGGGAGGGCGTATAGTCACATCTCTTCAATGATGTAGGCAGCTCAGTTTCCATCCGAGCCAACTCCAGCTTCAGCAATGGCTTTCGACTCGTTAGACTCCCAGCCCGAACAGCAACAACTTGAGGCGCCAGGCCTCCAAGCTGCCCGTTTCATTGCATACGTTAGGCCCTAAGGCCCTAGGCCGGTGTGTGTGTGTGTGTGTGTGTGTGTGTGTGTGTGTGTGTGTGTGTGTGTGGAGCAGCTTCTCCTGCTCTCTTTGTGTCCGAAGGTTTCTTCACCAAGATCAGTTTATATACCTTTTCCTTCAAGGCATGATGTATTGCTGCGTAGATTCCCAGTTCGAAGACATAAGTACCACGCGTAGCCCAGAGGTAGATCTCCAATGTCGAAACCTCATTAAACATACAATCCTCAATCCAAATACCCAAAATGCACCGACCCATGTGGATAGCCTCATAGCCTGCCAACCTTAAGCGTTTAGAACAGCTTCTTCCTTGAATGGGGGCTTTTTTCAAGTTCCTAATGGTTTGGGGCAGGCCAGCGCCCCCTCACGGCTCTCGTGGCGCGATGCCTGCTGATCTCACTGGTCGCTTGGCCCGGTCCTGACCCCGAGCCTTGTGGCCCTTTGGATTCGGTTTTTTCTGGGGCAGGGGTCTTCGGTTGCATACAGGCTTGTCGAGGGTTTTGGGCATTTGTTTTCTCTCAGTGCAAGGCAGCTTCGGTAAGCGAGCCCCATGGTTCGGGGGCTCACGCATTCTACATACAAGAATCACATTCCCTCCAGTCCGTTGCAACTGCATCCGCCGGGGACACCGAACTCATGGCAGTGATGCACGCATTTGGGGTGCTCACTTTGGCTTCCAATGCTTTCAGATCGACTAAAACCATGGCTCGGCCATACGTTTCCAGAGTTGGCAGATTGCATCGTGCTCCTCAGTGCCAGACATATTTTTGGGTGCAGTCGCCAGCTCGCCATCGTCCCATCCATTACCGCCTCTGAAGATCCTTCTCCCGTCATGGTGTCGTGGTTGTTTTGGGGAGCAACTCACATTGTGTTGCGTCCTCTGAGGTGGCAATCGGGTGCTTGTTTCAGTATTTCGGCACTATGCTAGGAGAAATAACTTTGAAGGTTGAGCCCCTGAAATTGCAAACCGAAACTTCTTGATAGGTGCCCTCAGAAGCAGACGTATCGGAAACCTTTGCAGAATCGGCCCAGACCCGTCACACTAACCTGAAAACCTAGACTCTGGAAACGCAAGCCGAAACCCGCGAGGCCCGGTCCGTAACCGCAACGCCCTGGGCCCAGCCGGCAAACCGCCCCGAAAGCTTCGACTCCATGCTTCAACTGCTTCAGTCCAGGTCATTGCCACCAGCATCCAGTTTGACTGGCCCGACCCGCCGCTGCTCAAAGAAGCGCCGGCGTTGGTGTTTCCAGGCTCCCGGCCAGTTTCGGGGGTTTGCCGTTGCTCTGGCATTAGCCATTTCTTACATTGGTGGTGAAGGAATAGGGATGTGAAGCAGTAAGTAAACTCTGCTTCTTATACACTCACGCGCTGACCGCGGGCTTGAGCAGGCGCGCTTCCGGCCCACCTCAGCGAGGCAGAGATGGCAGCAGGACTCACGCAGCCCCAAGGTGCACATGCACGAAAATTGACCATGGCGGTTCAGACCTTCATGTCTTTCGCAGATTCAGCAACAAGAACGAATGGAGCTCGTGATCAGATTTTGGGTATTTGGCGTGCTTGACAGGCAGCAAGACTGGTGTCGATGATGCTCATAATTTTGTGCCTCGTGGCTGTGGTGGATCGGGCAACGCGATGCTCATGATGGGTGCTGCAGGCAAAGCAGCAAGACTATGCTGATGATGTTCAGAATGCATGCCCCCTCGCTGTGGTGCCGATGATGTTCGTGACGTGGGAAGCAGCTACATGAGCCCTGGCGTGTCGCTGCGGTAGATCGGGTTGAGCAGCAATCTTCATACCGGCATGATGCTTCGATGGCGGTGCACTTAAGCAGAAGCCCTTGTGCCAATGATGCTCTTGACCCGTGCCTTGCTGCCGTGGTAGATCAATGAAGGGAAAGCCTGGTGCCGATGATGCTCATGATCGTAACTTTTGGTTGTGGCGCTAGCGTTGTGTCTTGCGGCCGTCAAGCAGCAAGACTTTTGCTGATGTGTTCCTTGCGGAGGTCAAGCAATGTGCCTGGTCCATGCTCGTTGATTTGGGTTGTTCGTGGTATCGGTGGATCGGGTTATGCAGTAAGCCTAGTGCTGATGCTGCTCCTGATGCGTGAAGTTAAGCAGCATGCCCGGTGCTGATGATGCTCGAATTTTAGGGTTAAGGCATTAAGTTTGGTGCCGCTGATACTCATGATGTGTGCCTGGCGTCTGGTCTGGAGTGGATTGAGCAACACCGCTGGTACCACTAGTGCTCATGACGTGTGCTTTCAGGCGTCAGCAAGCGTTGTGCCAATGATGCTCGTGATGCGTGTCTTGCGGCCGTCGCAGATCGGACTAAGCAGAACACCTGGTGCTGCTGACACTCATGATGATCTCATGATACGTGCCATTCTGTTGTTGTAGGTCAAGCATACAGCAAGGCTGTTGCCGATGATGCTCGCTCAGCAGTTTTGTGCCCATGTTATTATGTCCTTGTGATTCGTCCTTTGCTTGTGGTAGATGAAACCCACACAGAAAATCATGGTCTCGACGATACTTGTGATGCGGCCCTTGCTGCTGTGGTAGATCAAGTCAAGAGCAAGCCTGGCACCGCTGATGCTAAAGACGCATGTCCTGATGATTGGTTGGTGTGGCTAGGCACCAAATCCGGTGCCGATGATGCTCATGATGGGTGTAGCTAGGCGGCAAATTTGGTGCTCATGATGCTCATGATGTGTGCCCTCTGGCTGCGCTTGGGTGTGGCTAGGCGGCAAATTTGGTGGCGATGATGCTCATGATGCGTCCCCTCTGGCTGTGTTTGGGTGTGGCTCTGCAGCAAACCCGGTGCCGATGATGCTCTTGATGCGTGCCCTGTGGTTAGGTGTGGCTCGGCATCATATCCAGTGCCGATGATGATGCGTGCCTGTGGCTGTGGTTGGGGGTGGCTAGGCAGCAAATCCGGTGCCCATGATGCTGATGATGCGTGCCGTTGCTGTGGCCGTGGTTAGGTGTGGCTAGAGCAAATCCGATGCCGATGAGCCTAGCCAACCACAGCCACAAAGCACGCATCATGAGCATCATTTGCTGCCTTGGATGTGCTGCCTACCCACCCCCAGCCACAGCCACAGGGCACGCATGATCAGCGTCATCGGCACCGGATTTGCAGCACAGCCACAGCCACGCGGCACGCATCATGAGCATCATTGGCACCGGATTTGCCGTTTAGCCACACCCAACCACAGCCACAGGGCACATCATGAGCATCATCGGCACCGGATTTGCCGCCTCGCCACTCCCACCACAGCCACAAGGCATGCGTCATGAGCATCATCGGCACGGGTTTGCTGCCTAGACACACCAAATACAGCCACAGACCATGCATCGTGAGCATCATCGGCATCGGATTTGTGCCCTGTGGCTGTGGTCGGGGGTGGCTTGGCAGCAAAGCCGCGGCAGCAAATCCGGAGCCGATGAGGCTGATGATGCGTGCTCTATGGTTTTGGTTGGGGGGTGGCTAAGCAGCAATTCCGATGCCGATGATGCTCTTGATGCCCTGTCGGTGTGTTGTGATCCGCTTAAGCAGCAGGCCTTGCGCAGCTGATGCTCGCGATGCTGATATCTGCTGTGATAGATCAGAACAGGAAGAGGCTGGGTGGAGTGCAGACTTGACCACGCCCTAGGCTTCAAGCTTGAACCGCCATCAACTCGAGAACTCTCGGACAGTTTGGTCCTTATGATGCGCTTGATGTTGCTGTGGTGGATAAGGTGAGAGTGGTGTAACAGTCTAAGCTGGCGCTCGCGAAGGGCAGATGCAGTTCAGACAGAGGTAAAGTTGATGACGATAGGGTGTGCAGCAAGTGTCCATTGTTGTGCAGCTGATGCTCATGATGCTTTTTGCTGTGCCTGGGATAGATCGCAAGCTTGGTGCCTATCTCGCTGTGATAGGTGCGGCCTATCATCATATGCCGTCAGATTGCAAAGTATGACTTGTGCCGGTGATGCTCGTGATGCCTGAAGCCTTGTACAGCTAATGTGCATGATGATTTTGGTTGCAAGATAAAACAGTTGCCCTGGTGCCGAGCCGAAAGCACAACGTGCCGACAGCTTTCCCACGCTTCGGAGGCGTTCTGCTCCCTCAAGGGGATGCGAGCCGAGACGAGCGAGCCGGCATGGGCCAGACGCTCGAATGTTAAGTTGCGCGCGACACGAAGGTCTGGCCCTTCGGAGGGTTGAGGGTTTTGGTGAAGATGGCAGGTCTGACATGTGGGGTATGGGTTCAATTCAGGGATCGGTGTTTGGAGTCACATTCAATTCAGGTTTGAGGCCTCATGGGGTAGAGCTTTCCGAGGCCTTTCTATCGTGGGCTAGAAGCGCGTTTGGGAAGGCCTCACAAGATCTACGGATGTCAGTGTGGATGCATTGCAGTGCCTGTGGGCATTGGCTGTGGACAGAACCTCGTGTTTCCGTCTGCCAGAAGTTTTGCAGTGTGCCGGCCTGCGAGCGCCTGTGCAAATTGAAAGTCATCGCATGTACGGCGGTGATGTGCTCAGAGGCGAACGTGCCTCGAGAGGTGCTGGAAGGCCTCAGCCCCGAGCCCCAATCCAAAACGCAAGCCCAGGACTGTGGTGCGGCTTGTGGGTTTACTCCTCCTTGCGAAGTCGCTTTGGCCGAAGTTACTGCTCCGCGGTTTCGGGCTGACAGTTCTGCTGAGTCTACGGAGTCGGGAGAGTTCATGTCCGCCATGCCGTTATGCTTCGCTTTTGCACGTTTCTTTTGCTCTGAGGCACCAGTGCTGAGGCCCTAAACACTGAAAGCTCCATGCGAGTTCTCCTGAAACCTGAAAGTCAGAAGCCTCTGCGCCTGTATCTTTCCCCTTGAACTGAGCGACGTTTCAGGCTCCTTGGGAGCCAAAGCGGCAAGTCGGCTCTGGGCTGGGGTGCCGCATTCTTCGTGCACTGTTGGGTTGCTTATGTTTCGTACTACCGGTCCCAGACATCCCGGAAGCTGGAGTGGTGACAGTCGTGCGCTGGGTTGGGGACCTTTCTGGGCAGACTCGAGCAGAGCACATAGGCGATGCCTGTGACTCGAGCCAGGCTCAAAGATGCATTTTTGCATGGCCTGCCTAGTGGCCTAGTGTCGGCAGGCAAAAACACCTGACTGCAGGCTGTAACCCCTGAAACCAAAACACCACGTCGCTACGTGCCAAGACTGTCAGTGTACATATTCACGGCACAGACCCTTCACGGCAGACCCAAGTGAAACGGGAAAAAGCTGCATGGGCCGCGAGAAGCTGGTACTGTATGAGGTCCTGAATTCGAGATGGCAGATCAGTAACTTTTTCTTAGATGCAGGGTAGAAGGCCACAGGCGGTCTTGGCATGTACATTCGGAATGCCTCTTGGGTTGCGTTTTTGACAAATCCCCATGTGATGCAGGCCAAGAAGAAGGAGAAGGCATGCTGGCCGGGTTCACGGCACGTGGCTTCTTGTGTCGGGTCGAGGTTTCTGACTTTCGCTGCTTGGTAGTTTCCAATTCATCCCAATACAGTCTGAGAAAGTTCCGGTTGCAAATAAGTTCACACGTTGCCGCGTGTTCCACTTGTTATTTTAAGTTTTGAAGGCAAGATGCAGAACAGAGCTGTGCGAGGTCTAGTTACTTTCGCACGCAACGACCAGCTGTGTAAGCAGATGAGGCTTCTGCTCGAAAAAACAGCATAATTGGGCCCCAGACATCGGCCCCAAATCTGAGCTCCAATGTTTGGCCCCGAATTGTGTGAGCTTCTACTTTCAACGAAGAAAGCTAAAATCTGCTGTCCACTTTCGCTGCCCGGACTAAACCACGTGTTGTTTGGATCAACGTCCAAGCAAGCCACACTGTGAAATGCGAGTTATTGACCTTGAAACTTGCCTTTGGCTGCCGTTTCACCGTTCCAAGACAAAGTCTTCTTTTCTTGTTCGTGTAGGATCTTTCTCGCACAGAAGCTTCCCTGCCTTTTTGATCAGTTTTGCTGCGTCTCTTTTTGGGTCTCAGGTTTCTACTAAAATTGGGAGAGGCGGCACTCTCATGCTACGTCCAGCACCTTCCCTCCCCCCTCCTATACACACACACACACAGTTGAGGTAGACACGCAGGTAAGTAATGTCATGTTTGTGCTTTGTGTTGTGTCAGCAGAGAGAACGAGACAAGCAAGTTGCTGCACTTCTGGCCGAATAGAGCTTTCGTATTTGGGTCCAAAATCGTGGCAACTATCACACGGTTTTGCTGTGGACGGAGCACATTTCTAGGGTTTTGGCAAGTTTCTGTCCCAAAAATGCAACTTTCACACGGTTTCGTTGTGGGCGGAGCATATTCCCTTCGTTGTCGCGTCTTGGGAGTTGGGTTATCATTATCCGAAAATTGACTTACTGTGAGTTCTGTACTGGAACGACTTGTGCTCCTAGCGAACCAGCTCTGTTGCCAAGCACCCTGATTGGGCTCTAACAATAATATTCAAGCTGTGCGGCTGGTGAACGGATGCCACGAGTGCATCCGTGCATGCTTGGGAATGTTTTGGCCCATTTCTTCCAAATCTCAGTTTTTGCGGCATTAGATAAACCGTTGATGGGTCAGACCTGTCATTGGCAGCATTTTTGCGTCGACTCTGGAGTCTTTACAGCAGGCAGTGGGGCACTGGCGAATTCCACGAAACTCCGCCGTGTCAGTGAAATCTACCTCTGCCAACTTTCCTCGGATCTTGCCCTAGGCCGCTACGTCTGCCGTGCGTCGAGACCGTTGCCATGGTATCAAGGGGTCCCGAATCCCTGTGGCCACAAATGTGATTGTTTGCAGGAAAACATGCACGTGAGGCCACGACAAGGCCACGACGGGACACAAACGTGTGGTTTTGAGGCTGCATCAGGCCACAACAAGCCACAAACATGTGGTTTTCATGCCATAGGCCACAACGAAGCAAGAACACGTGGTTGTTCTCGGCTAGAGTGCTGAAGATCCATTCCATTTGACATCCTAAATGAGGAGCAGTAAAACTTATCAAAAACGTAGGAGAGCTCAAGTGACCTCCCGGTAAACATGGTCTTGTTGCCAACAAAAGCCACACTCCGATGCAGGAGACGCCTGATTTTGTGGACACTCAGAATTGCAAGACAGGGAATTCTTTTGAATCCTTTGAACAAAGATTCCCTGGCCAGGGAATCCGAAGCACTATCGGCCCTGATTCCAGTGGCCTTCAGCGAAACAGGGTAGTGCAGAATCCTTGAATGAACTGGGCCATTCCTCGAGCAAGATCTCTGCAGGCCAACGACGCCGCCATCGCGAACCTGGGCTTAGTCCCTAGCACGCGCGAATTTACAAAGGATTCGGATCGGATCCAGGGTCAGCAGCCGATCTGCGACTGACTCGTCCACAATGCTCCTCAATTCATCCTTGAGAAGACAGTCGAGCAATCCTTACATCGCAACATGTAACATGAAGCATCGCACATTCGATCCAGGATCATGTGTCGACCGAAGCTTCAGAGAAAATAGTTTAAGGTTAATGTCGTTTGAAGCCTGAAGTTGTGACCTCCGAACCAAACCTGTTTCTTCTGACTCAGGCGCCAACGAGTGCCGGATAGAGACCATTTCCAGGACCTTCCTGATGAAGATGTGCTGTTGCTGGCTTCAAGTCTCTATCCTCGCCGGCTCATATAACAAGTAACAGATGCGATGAGCGGTTTAGCACCTCGTTTGGGTTTCGGTGTAAACCATGTCAAAGGGCACCCCTGGCCACAAGGAAGAAGGACCCCGTCAATCTGCCGCTCCATTGTGTTAAGGCCTAGATTCGCACACTCCTGCAACCAGGCCTCCTAAAATGCTTTGCGGAGGATCCACCACTTCGCCCACGGGCCTGGCTACAGGCTCCAGGTGCACGAGGGCACGGTAAAGCTCAGCTCTAGGACTCTAGGGTTTAGGTCATACAAAAAAAATCTGAAAACTGGGCGGTTCTGCAAAACGGATAGGAGAGCGCGGTCTGTGCCCGGGCTGCTGCCGCCGCGGTTAGTCAAATGCATTTTTGATCCGAAGCTTGCCAAGTTTGCAAAAAGTCTCGGAAGTGAACAGTGTCGAGGGCCTCGCACCCGAAACACCCTTAAGCAAATAGTCTTACAGAATGCCTTATTCTGTCGAGGTGGCAGAGGGCATGGTGGCGCATCTAAGCTGCAGTGGGTGACCTTCAGCTTCAGGGCCTGGAATCATCTGAATTCGATAAGCCGCTTGCAGTGGTCACAGAGCTATTGTGTTTCTTTGGCGCAACGGCAAGAGTGTTCAGCTGCCGAGCTCAACTCTGAAGCCAAAGATGATGCAGGGCTGCGGCTCGCTCTGGTACCCTCCCTCTGCCTCCCCCGTGTCAGATGGAGCCCTTGTCCCCTGCCCCCCTGTGGCGTCTTGGGTTCTCGGTCTATCGGGTTCTGAAGGTCTCCCGCATCCTCCCATTCTGTGGTTGTTGACCAGATGGCAGTAAGGCACGGGGGCAGTGTATTCTACAGAGATATACAGAGATATGGTTGCAACTGTTTGTTAGTAGTACTGTCATTCTTATGGCTATTGTATTGTTACGAGGTTATGGCTGTTCTTTTCACCCTTGCACATGGTGCCGCTGTCCGGTGTTATAGCCTTCGCTCTGATGCGACGCTTCCCTGTGAAGAAGGACTGACTGTAATGCGGATCATTGCATTGACACCTGTCGCCTCCCTCCTCCCCCCTTTGGTTGCGTGGTGGCTTCTGTTCCGGTTCGATGTGACGATCCCATCTACCGAAAACGACCACTGTGTGCGCCTGATTGTCGCAGAGTCCTGAAATAAGGGGAGGGAGGGTTAGGGGCCGGGACCCGAGATTATAAATCCTCGCTCAACTTTGCACCTCTCAATCGGCATTGGGCTACGCAGTGCTGCTTTTTGCAAGTGGAGATCGCACTTCTCACCAGACCACTAAACTCAAAACCCGAAACCCCACGTTCTACACCCAAAGCCATGAACTTCGCAACAACAACGGACCGACAACGGACCGTGAATAGCCTTCCACCCAGTCCTCAAGCTTGTTGATGCCGCGTTCTATCTATAGGAAGGGCTGCCTGAAGTTGCGAAGGAGCTTTTTCAACAGGAATCCTTACAGGAAGGACGTAAGGGCTGCGGATGGGTGCCGCGAAAGACCATCAATCCATAACTGCTATGCCAGGGACTTCAATCCTCAAGCTGAAGCGCAAGCCGCCTGAGCTGTCGGCTTGTCCCGCTTGCTCCCAGGCAGCGCCTGAACCTCTTCACGAATCGCAGGGAGATCGCCCTCAAGGCCGACTGGATTGCGAGAGGATCGAGAGAGGGGGTGTTTTGGCGTTTTGGCCATCAGGTGTCAGGTGTTATCCAAAATTTTTAGGGCAGTCGTGTTTGCCGTGTGCATGCACGTGTAAATCTCCTGTCCTGCTCAAATCCTGGACCACACGTACACAGGAGTTTATGAGGACAAGGTGCCCGAGTGCAAACACAGCTACTGACCTTGCAGATCCCTGCGCAGTTACCCCATAAACACGGACACCAACTTCACAGTTCGATGGACGTCGTAGATACTAGCACCACATCAAAACCCTCGTGTCCCTCAAGAACAGGGAACGACAACACATCCCCGCAGCAGTGTTTGTAACTGCTAGTGATTGGGGGAGGGAGGGGGAGAGAGAGAGAGAGAGAGAGAGAGAGCCACTTTGGCTCAAGAGTGTGCGCCTTCGTCGTTGGGGGCCTGTGCTGCACTCTCGACTTAGGGGGGAGGTCCCCAGGCCTCCAGTTTCGCTCTCCCTGGCAACCGGGCTAGAAGAAGGAGCACCAACGTGGCGACCCAGCATGCCGACTACACGGATTGTCTGCAAGGGGGACTGCGTCGGTGGTGGCCCGACGATCAAGCTCGTCCCAAACTTCCACCGTTGAAGCAAAGGAGGGAAACCAACAGGCACCCAGCAGCTCAGCACGACAGCTAAGGCAGGGCCTTTCTCGCATATGGTGAGATTTGAAACACGTGGGGGGATGGCACACTATTCAACCCAGCCCCAATCGACGAATGGATAACAAGAAGGTGCAGATGGAGCCTGCTACGGGGGAGTACCACTGCGGAGCCGCTCACGAAGGACCAGGCGGCCACCTATGAGCGCTACCAAAAGCGCCTCACGGATAGGTGCAGAATGGGGGAAGCCGCTGACAGGCTGGTCCGCATTGTGGACAAGTACCTCTCAAAAGCGGCAGCAGAGCCCGCATCTATGTAGGGCACTTTCGCTACAGGATCAAGAAGCTTTTGAAGCGAGCCCGCAAAATCAGGGGGAAGATGAGGAAAGCCCGCAGGCACGGAAACGCGGAGCCCTTCAAAGCAGAGGGGAAAGCCAACAGCACCAAGAACTCCGAGGAGCCCGGCGACACCACTACTGGAGGGCAACAAGACGACCGAGGCCGCGGAAGAGCCGGGGGAGAACCACACCACACCACAAAGCAGACCAACAATACAGACAAGCCGAGCAAGCACTGGCACCTGGCAGCCGTGTGATAAATGAGCGCAGATACAGACGTCAGCCCGCTGGATTGGGGGAGACTCTGTGACCACAGAGGTAGCGGAAAGCTCAGACGACCGCGACGACGACAACAGCCCCGGAAAAGACACACCGCACTCCTGGCCATGGGGGTCCGCAGGCAGACCGTCGGACAGAGGGCAAAGCAGCGGAGTGCTGGCAGAGCGACCCAGTGAGCCAAGTGGACAGCCGCCGCGGCCACCATCGCAGCATACCCACCCAACCGAAAGTGGGGGTGCAGTGAGGCTGGTGCCACACCAGCGATGGCATGACGTCCAACGAGTACAGGCACACATGGCACAGACTCGACATAATGAGTGGGGGGAAAACAAGAGTGGAGTTCAAAGGCGGCCGAGTGACCAACTGAGGGGGGGCATCATGCTGCCTCGAAATTTTTGCGGCCAGCCGTGCTAGTGGGGGAGCTGCGGTGTTGTTTACGCTAGGCTCAGCCCTAGACTTCCGAGCCCCAGTTGTTCGCAGCCGCTCGCACACGACAAGCGTAATTATGACGGGCCGTGGATCCAGAACCACTATACGTCAGGGGAGCCATCCTGCTCTCCACCTCTAAATGCACTTTTGCAGAACACTTGCCTTTGAAAAGGGACCCTACTGCCAATTCGCGACACTTGCATGGGAACACATACCGGGGCACCCGCCAGTCTTAGCCGCTGCATGTTTTGATGTTCCATGTAATTGTTTGCTCAAGAAAGGCAGGAACCAGTAACATTTCGCTACATTCGTACTGGGGAACACACACTGGAGCACCCGCCGTACTTGTTACTTGCACGGTTTGGTTTTCAGCTGTTGGTTTACCTTGCAAAGGTGGGGGACCAGAGACTATTTTTTGCTTTGGGACGTAATCCGTCAACCCCATGAAATGAAACTGTGCAGTGCTTGAGGTTGGGCCTATCCTTATGTGTTGCTTTGTATGATGTAGGGGGACGGCTACAAACCGTAGGTTTTTGCCGGGAACTGTGCCCAGTAACTGCTAGGGGGACCGGAGTTGACATGCCACTTCCCAGATGCCTGGACCCTAGCTTAGTTGTGCTGTTCTAGTTTCATGGGGAAGTGAGGTCAATCCGTAGGTTCTGTTGGGGGGAGTGTTTGTCATAGGCCTAAGGACCTGGCTAAAGAGAGCGCGGGGATGAGGCCGGGAAGCGGGCCTAAAGTTCAGGGAGAGGGTCCACGACAGACATATGCTTCCGGCAAAACCGAACGGGTGAACGCAGCCCCTCGTTTTGAGGCCCCAATGCCTTTTTCCACCAGAAACGGGGGAAACGCGGGCTCCGTCGGAAGCTCTACCCCTGCGAATCGAAGCGAAAAGAGAGAGAGAGAGAGACAGAAAAAGAGACGGACGGACGGACGGACGGACAGAGAGAGAGAGAGAGAGAGAGAAAGTCTCGGGCAAGGACTGGCTCTCCGGCGTGCTGGGTGCCTTGGAGAGCTGCGGCCCCTGTGCTCGCTAGGCTTCGAACTACATTCCTTGCGGGGATGAAAGTGAGAGCTCTGTCTTAGCTCGAGCAGTGCTTTCTTGGGTTTCTTTGCATCTCGGCTTGTTTGGATCAAAGCATGCGGCGGTGAGAATGCCGACAATCAATTATTAAGTACCTGAGAAGGCAATCCCAAGACTGGTTATGGTTCTTTCTCTGTTGCCTGCTGACTGAACGCTGGGATACGAACTCTTGCCATGCCCTTATGCAGTTCTGCATGTGTTTGCTGCGCAAAACTGACTGACTGCAAGGCTTCGGGCAAGTGCAATCATACATGGATTGTGCTCTTGAGGAGCAACACCCTTCAAGTTGTCGGGCATGGGTGGTCCGAGACTGCGGGTCGTGGTCGCTTCTGTCGGGTTTTTCCGCATCATTGCAAAGACCGAAGATGACCGAAGTCAGGCGGCTTCGCCCGAAGCAATAATTCCTCACTGAGGTACCGGCACGCACATCATGCTCCTGAAACGCTCGTCCGGCAACGGTGAGGCGCCTCGGGATTACACCACTTTCATACATCACCGGGCGACTTTCCTGCCATGTCATCAGCAGTTTTTCTGTAGACTTCTGACGGCCCAAACCCGCAAGTTGAGCAAAAACCTTTCTTTGGCAAAAACCCACCTGTGCCTGAGAGGCATTCCGACTCAAGGGAGACAGCCGGATTTTTGTAGACAGAGACCGATATGTCGATGTTTCCAAGCGGGCACAGGTTGATGTGGTGAGTTGAAGACGTGCATGCTGGGCTTCTCGACACGGACCCGCCCACAGGAGTGATGTGTTGACAACACCAGTCGGTTCATCGGGACGGGCCTACACGGTACTCCGTGAACGCAGAGTCCCGCGACGGCCGGCACGAACTTGGAAAGCAGTCAGATACCCATATGGTGGCGTCAAACACACATTCGGAGCCGATGTCCAGATATCTCGCCGCCTCCATGAGTGCGGGCCTGCTTGGTTTGGCTGAACTTCGTGTGGCCGGCACCTTGAACCGGCGTGAACCAGAACTTCCGAACCCAGTAACTCGTTGCCCATAGGTTTGAAAGTTCCACGGCTTGCAACGATCTCCGGACTTGTAGGTGATGGGGGGAGTTGTCACCGGAGAGAAGACGGACGGCGGTGATGACCAGAAGAAGGAGGGCAAGGCATCCATCCATGGCTTGCGGTTGGGAGTTGGATTTCTTCTGAGGCTTTTTGGGGTTCGGCCTTTTGCTGTCGAGGGCCAGGATTCAGCAGAATTCAGATGTGCCAGGAAAGGGCAACCGTTTTTGCTTCAAATCTCGGTCTTAGGGCTTGGAAGCTGAGGGGACGCTGGCCATGTCGCAGTCACATTTCACGGAAGACTCTAAGTCTGCCCCTCAAAGGAGGTGCACCAAATCTAGACTGTTTTGAACCCCACCCTGAGCCACAACTGTCGACTCGTGTTCAAGGCCACCGGGGAGATGAAGATTCAGCTCCGGCGCGACAAAGCGCAGCAGGCAGTCTGAGGGTTGCCCAAAGCCGCACGGAGGGCAAACTCTCAAAAAAGCGCGAGTCAACTTCCAAACCGCCAAGCCTGGCCAAGCCTTTGACTGCCGCCGCAGCCGCCGCAGGCTGAGAACGACTGGCTTCAGTCCCTGCTTGGTGGTGAGGTGGGGGCCTACGGCCTGCTGTCTCGGCGTGCAGAGCTCTTCAGCGATAACCGTTGTTTGAGTGGTTGCCACGTCACCTTGCGAACCTTGGCCTCGGATGAGAGAAAGACATGCCCGATCTGACTCTTGCAAGCCGGATCAATCCTAGATTTCATCGTAGCCCCCACAGCCCGCCAGAGCCCCGCTGAATACCGGAAGCACACCTCAAGAGGCGCGAGATATCCTGGGTCCTAAGTAGTGTTTTTGTTGCAGTGCCAAAGCATGGGATAACTTGACCTTTAGGCGGAGAAAGAGCCAGAGCCACCAGAGCCCGAGAAGGCCCGCCGGGTCGGGTCCACTTTCCGGAGCTTCGGGGACCTGGGAGCCGAAGGGATGTACTAGACTATCAGGGTTCAGGGGTTCAGGGATCCAGCGGTTTCGAATCGCGGTTGTCATGACTGCCGGAGTAATATTGACGTGCTCACCGTCCACATTAGGGGCAAACTGTGGCCAGGATGGTCACTGCTGGTCTCAGCTGAGTCCGAGGAAGATCTCGCTGGCAGCATCTCGGAGCTTTATGCTCAACTGGAAACCTCAACACAACCTGAGAATGCCTTTCAGCCGGACGCTTGCGCTACCAGTTGATGTTGTCTTGGCCGCAAGGCCTCGCCAGCCCCCGCGGAGCCGATAGCGAGGCCGGTTCTGCTTCTAGGCGTTGACAAAGATCTTCCAGAGGCTTCCAGCTTGCAGCATGGTTTTGTGTCCTTGGCATGTGCGGTCACTTGCCACATTCAAGCTTCAGAGTTCAGGTTCAGAGTCTTCTTTAGTAAAGGGGTTCTCTTATGTTGGAGTGCTGAAGATGGGGGGCTTTGAGTGAATGGAACCCATGGCCCCGAGGCCCGAAGGTTTATCCTCGCAAGGCCTGCGAGCGCACCGGGTCCGCAGGAGCCACCTGAACTGCCAGGGGCTCAGTCTCTTCGGTGCTCGGTGCTTCGCGGGGCTTCACGGCTTCAAAGATGCGTGTGGCCAGGGCTTCCGATGCGAGTTGTTTGGGATTTTAGGGTTTAGGGCATGGAGCCCAGCAATCTTCATATTTCCAGCTGCACGAGTATAGACTTGCACGCGATTCGGGGGTATGCAACATTATGAAAGCATAGGATCTGTACAAGAGGCCAGCGAGAGTGTTGAATTGGGCAGTATATCTGCAGATTGGTCTACGCTCTTCGTTGCCTGTGCAAGCATCTGTCTGAGCGTAGAGGGACAAGCGACAGCGCGTGCCAAATAAAGGCTGTCGTTGTCGTTTGAAGGTGGTTCTTGTCCGAGTATCATGACTCCAAAGCCACTTGAAAATACAACAGAGCAGGAACTCAGGTATTGAGATTGCAGGCCTAGAGCCTTTTCGTTTCGGACATGCCGTTATCATTGCGAGACCAGAGTGAAGATCCACCTGCCACAGGCCGCGGACGGAGGCAACATCGTCCAGGACACATTGCATTGGATCCTGCACTACGAACCCGAAGCCACATCCGTCAACACGCGAGCTTTTGACGCGGAAGAACTGATGCCCAGTCTTTGGAAGCCACATCGGCTTTGGACTTTCAAGCTATTTCAATACCAGAATACCATCAGCAACCGAAGGAGGCGAGGGGGCAACCACCGCGACTATGAGGAGGCAGGATGTGTTGAGACTCAGGGTTTGCGTGGTTCTAAGCTCCACGGTGAGGTCAGACTGCACACCCTCGACTGCGTTCTCTGCCTCAAGCCCTCGCGAGCCCGAGCCATCAATCCTCACCCTCTTGAATTCTCCAGACCCCACCTACATGGGTCGCAAGTCGTGGCCGGCTTTGCATCCCAAGCCCGATGCTCTGAAAGCCTTGAACGTGCCACCGGGCTCCCTGCCCAGGCGCCTCAGCCGAGGCGTGCGCAAGGAGCTGAGTGGGTAATTGCCGTAGGTCAGGTTGCTCTACCAGCCCCAATGCTATGCCAGAGCATGTTGATGCAGCCGCTGAAGCTGAGGTGCAAGTATTGCATCAGGGTGCTACAAAACGTGGAACCTGGATTCAGGGTGCACTACGTACGTTAGTAAGAGTTGGTTCGAGGAGATGCTTCCAGCGCTGTGGATGAGAGGTTCCGGTTAGGCATGGCGCAGGAAGATGTCTCCTGCGCTCCACACATCTTTGTGCAATTTCGAAACAACCTTTGGCAGGGGGTATAACTGCATCTGCAGTTGAAGCTTCGAGTGGGCACAGAAATACAGACTCGGCTTCGGTCACCCGCTCACCACGACCGCGACCTCTTGGCAGTTGAAGTTCTGAAGCCCTTAGCCACACCATAGCGCGAGCTGCTTCACTGGGGACTGGGTGAGTAATAGCAAGATCCACCATCATTCACTATCACCGAACCTCATTGCCTCTTGCTCCAAGGACAGCCTCCTGCAATATTTGGATGGTGTGTCTTCTTGTCCGCCGGAGAAACCCGATTTTGTCCAGCGGCTGAACCATCTCCTCGGCCCTTTGCGATCAGAGCTCTTCCAACCGATCCCATGCTCGTCTGAATTCTGCATGCTCTGTCCAGTCGCTGGGGCTTGCTTTATGTTGGAAAGAAAGATCATGCTTGGGGGACGGGTCGTGACCGCTGAGCTCCCAGCTGCGCGAGCTCCTACTCTCGGGTTACCAAGGTGGCTGCCAGGATCGAAGAACGCCTGGGCTCCTGCATGTTCCTCATTCTCTGGTGGTGCGTTTCGGCTTGAGGATTGAGGTTTTGGAAGCTCAAGGGTTGAGGGTTTCGGGATGTTTCTGTTTCGGGAATCTCTACAGTCCAGGTGTCAGGATGTGACTGGATTACTTATTGCTTGTTCTCGGACCTATGGCCAAGCAACTGAAGGGCAGGCTTCTGTTGCTTGAGGCTGTCTTTTTACCCGAAAGCTTAGACTTAAACCACACTCCAAACGCCCTCAAAAAGCTTCCTGCACAACCTAACTTCACCCTTCGACACCCTTCAGGTGCCCCAAGGTCCGAATACTTTGGCTTTGAATTGCTGAAGTCAATGCGAAGCATGTTCCTTCCTGTCCAAGGCGGTGTCCGGAAATTACACGAACGGGTGGGAGGCGAGACGCGCTGCAACTCAGGGTTCCTCTTGATTCAACCCATCAGCGGGTCACCCGAATCGGGACACCGACTGAACAGCTGCTGAATCAGGTAACAGCCCAGAAAGGGTCCTTTTAATCCTGAAGTCTCGCCAGGACGGCACCTGGCACAACGGAGATGCCGGGCACGGGCGCTCGGGGGTGCTTGAGAGAAAGCGGTAGGTGTTGGTGTGTCTGGCTAAGTCGCGAATTCAGCAGGGTGGGCAAAGAGCTGGTCCCACCGATGTTTTTCCAAACTGGGGTTCGGATCCAGGTGCCGTCCCAAGGCCCAGTATAGTGTCTGCCTTTCGAGGTGGAGTGAGTGGAACGACTGGACCTGGTGGCGAGGAGAGCAGGCTCGGCACATCACGCAGGATGTGAGCGAAACCCAGACTTCTTGGAGCCAGGCGCCCGTGCCTGCCCCTGCGCCAGCGCGGAGGTGGAATAAGCAGGCCAAAGGCTGCGGGACGGGTCGAGGCACATCAGAGGCTAGGCTTTGGAAGGACGGCTTCGGGCAGAGAAAGCTCGGAGGGACTCTCTCCCCTGTGCTTCTGTATCCTTTAAGGTTCCACTGCTTGAGATTGCCGCACTTGCTGAGAGGCACCGGCCTGCGACGAATGCCTACGGGCGGGTGGAGGCCTCATCAAGCTCTTCAAGGCGCGGACTTGCATGAATGTTTGCAGCAGGAAGAATCACAGCGAGACACCTTCCGAAGTCTAGTCTTTGACGTGAAGCAGTGCAGCTGCTTGGTGTGGTTTAGACGAAGACGTTGAGTCGATGCAAAGCTGTGTTACAGGGTTGTACTGATCGCCGGACTGGATTGTTCTTTGTTCGCAAGGGCCAACTATGCAAGCTGAAGCCAATTTGCAAGCTCAAGCCTTTTTCCTCCCGCATTTCGATTTGGGGTTTTGCCCATCCAGAAATCACCTGCGTCATCGTCATGTTACGTGTTTCTGAGGAATGTGTAGGAGTGTAGGGACTATAGGGAGCAGCTTTCGACATAAGGGCCGTGCAGCACAACCAATCCTTGAATCCGCAGCGCTATCTGTGAAAGTCAAAGGTTGATCTGGATTTGCTTCCTAAGTCTCATAATCTACAACTCCTCTATCCTGATCTATCCCAGAAGACGTTCACGCAAGGCCCCGATCTCTCAAGTCGTCTGAGCCGAATCGCTGTGCTGAGTTTGCAACCTTGTTTGCTTTGTCTCCCTGGAGCCTAGACAATTGTTAAACCTATGCTTGGAACCGGAACCGCACGAGATCGGCAGGATGGTGATGGAAAGTACTGTCGCCGCACCCCCAGCATTGCGAGTCCTTTCCCACACTATGGCAGGGCTGATTTAATGGGTTTCCACGTGAAGGGGTGCAATTTTGGGTTCCGCATCTTGACAAATCTGGAAGCGATCCCCGCAAAGAGTCCTGCGTCGTGTTCAGGCATCGACGAGCTGTTGGATTAAGCCCGGGTCCTTGAAGCCTAAAGTTGAAGCGGAAAGCCTTGCACTCTGCTCCTGTAGACCTCAAGCCCGTGGTTCAAGCTTGAAAAATGTAACTTGCTCAGTGCGAAGTCCTAAACAGTCCGGGAGATTTTGACCGAAAGAGGGCTCAAGACCCTCACATGGACTTAAGCCTTAACCATTCATCCGCCGACGAGGGAGGTGCTGGTTTGCCTTCTATCTCGAAGACCCTCCAGCGGACGCCGCCGCTGGCCCAGATGCTCATTGTGTATGCCGCAGGTGTAGGCATGGTGTTTGAGGATTTTGCAGCTCAGGGAGAGAAGTTTGGCTTGTGGGTTGACATTCAACACGTTCTAGTAGAGTTGAGGGCTCTACGTTGCCGGCTTTATTCCAACTGGCCTCCAGCTTAAGCAGGCCGAGCTGTTGAATCTGAGCTTCGAGGCCTCGTTGCAATCCGAGGAGCCAGAACAGAGTCGGAGCGTTTGCGTTGTTTGTCCGAGTTGAGGCTGTGAGATGAGGAGGATGCGCATGTGAACAGAGTAGGTTTCGCCTGCTTGCCAGGCGGTAGGCTCCGACAAAGAGCGCCCCAGCACGCATGCACCCATTCGCGCAAGTACAGCAGCCGAAGGAAAGGTCAACCAGCCGAACAATAATGACACGGTTCAGCAGGTTATAGCTTAAAGCGAAATGTGGCATGCACTTGTTGATGTTGAATCTTGAAAGATACCAAAATGTAGCACTGTAACACCATGCAGGTAAAGCCTCGGGCAATTTCTGTCTCGCCCTGGAGTCCCAAGGCAGAGGCCGCACGGCTACCCCCAAAATAGACCTCATTTGTCAGAAAAGGAGGGTAGTTCCGAGCAACTCTACCCCGGAGCATGCCGAAAGCCTGTAACGGCGTAACTGTTAAGGTACTGTCGATGTGGCAATCCGGGTCGCTCTTGTGGATAAGACGTTGCTCACATGTGCATGCTGCACCCGGCAGTACTCCAAAAGACGCTGTAGTGCTGGTACCAGCCAGATTTTCAGGCGCGCTCCCCGCGCCGCACGATTGTACAGCCAGCGCCTGACTGCTCGCACAAGCAAAAAGAGGCTGTTGGCCAGCTGTGCCCGAATCCATTGCTTAGACATTCGCAGGATCACGACACTCCGTAACATCTCTAATTTTTGCTTCCAGTTTCCCAAGTTAGCAATGCATTGAGCCCAAAAATTCCAAACCACCCCGAGCGCAGGCAACCTAACACCAGCAAGGAACGCAGCTTTTTGCAGCTCACGAGTGGTTCGCAGCAATCCAGCTCCCGACGCAATCAGTGCCAGCATGGCAGCTGCAGCAGCCTCGCGCTCAAAGCAAATCCTTACGAGTATGAATCCTGAGTCTGACGTAAGACGACGAGCTACTGCATTTACGTCCGAGAGTCCTCAAGGTTTTTCTTACAACAGCTGATGATCTGCGTACTTTAAGTGTGTGGAGCAACCCTGGAAAGACGAAGGTCACACATACACTGGAATGTCAACGATCCCTCGACAGCTTGACTTTCTCCATGTTGTGCACGTGTACGAGCATTGGTTTCAATCTGTTACAGATGACCATCACGGACAGAGTTTGACAGGAGTGGCGATGGCGATATCAGGCCACTATCTGCTAATTTCCAATACAGCAGCGCAACTATGTGCGATTCGATTTGTTCAAGCGCTCGTGCACATCTACAGTTTCTATCACCTTTGGAGGACTCTGTCTCCAGGCACCTCAAGCCCTCGGGTCCGAGATCTGACCTCAAATGACACTCCACAGAGGTGTCACCGTCCACTTCTTCTCAGGGTGAAGCGAGCAACAGCCTCGGCCTTCGAAGAGTTGGGAGCCTAGGGCCTACAGAGCTCCAAGGCCTCAAGGATGCAATGCAGGGATGCTTCAGCGCAAGGGGATTCTTAAGCGTAACTGGATGTAACAAGCACCGCAAGGCCGGCAATGTCGATTTTCCGGGCTTTGATTCGTGATTCTGTATTGGGCTTAGAGAGTTGAGGTTTCGGGATTTTTTCGGGTATGCGTTGCATTCTCGGACTCTGAGCTGAGAGGCAAAGCTCTGCCCCTCTGACTCTCTCCTTATATCTCGATGGAGGGATGGAACTTCCGATTTTGTGCTCTTGACTGGTGTTGGAATGCCGATGGACGAGAGACGCCCGAAGCCGCAAACCCCTGCTGTCCAAGCTCAAAACTCCTTGCCAAGGCATCACCGAACAGATGGGCACCAGTTCACCAGCGCCTTCCCAGCCGTCACCTGAGCTCTAGGTAAACTCAAGCTTGAAACTTGAAACTATCCAAGCTGTCGACTTGTTCGTATGATTCCTGTATGATGTTCTAAACTTAACAGCGAAGCTGTCAGAGATGCACGCAAAGCACAAAGTCCATATTTCGCACCTACGCGGCCGTTGCGCCCGGAACAGCTGCAAATACTGAACACGTGGGCTACAATCGACAAGTATGGAACGCCAATCCCGGAACTTCTCTGCACTTACGTTTTCTGCAGGGTAGCCAGCCCAATGCGACACAGCCTGCTGCTGCGTGGAAGGCCGCTCCGAGTCAGAGGTGTGGTCAAGGACTTGCGGATTGAGACTTTTTGAGATTGGGGGTTCGGATTGGTACAAGACCTCCAGTTGAAACGTAATGCTTTGAGTTTTTAATCTTGTTGCTTTTGAGGTAGTTGGTATGGAGCAGGTCACAGATCTTGCTTTCTGGATGCCTGACAGTACAACGACCCCAACAATATCGTAAAGCAGCCGCGGCTTCGAGTTGCCGCCTTTGATTTTCCATTCGTCGCAAACTGTTGTTTCTGTTTTGGCAGGAAGAGCGGCTACTCGGGCCCAGCTCCAGAGGCCGCCATGTAGCTTGGGGTTTTCGCTCATGCCGTGTTGAGTCCTGTTCTGATCTCTTGGTTTAAAGTCTTAAGAAGGGACTGCAGCTGGATATTTCCTCGATCTGGCAGGTAAAAGCTCAAGCAACTGAAGAGGCTGTGCTGCAGGGGGTTGTTTTGGATGCCTTTCAGGCTTGTCGCTTACCTTAATCCTCAAGATGCATTGTAAGTGTAGACGGCCAGATTTCAGGCAGGGATTTGGGATGCTCAGGGTTCGGAAGATTCGAAGAGCCGTTCCCACTCTGGCCAGGGTAAGCCAAAGTCATTCAGAAAATCCCGGATCGAAGATTTCGGCTCCGGGCACAGTGCCCGAACAAAGCTCGGTTCCAGCATTGTTCCCTTGTCGAGATATGATCTCGTAAGACCTTGTCTGGCGCCACTACTATGCGTATATCAACTAATCGAAACGTTAGAGGACTGGGTGAAGCTCAGAATGTCTATGTACAGCCCAGTATCCTGCTGCCAGATGCGGACGCCTGCTCGACGGAAAACTGCCGTCGGGGCGAAGGAAACGCCGAAGAAGCGTGCGGCCCCGAAGAAGCGACGCTGGGTAGCAGATCGATTTGAGCAAGCCGGAGGGCTTCTGCTCAAAAGATTTCCTGCAGCTTGCCGCGGCTTCGAGGGTGCAGGGCAAAGGCTTCACGGAGGGTTGGATCGTCTGTTTAAGTTCTGGATTAGGCTTATTAGGCTTTCATGCCAGTACTTTGGACAGTCTGGTCCGAGGATCCCTGAGGCAAGCTTCGTAATCGACACATCGTGGTAATTAGTAAACTTCGGCAAGAGCTTCGGCTTTGGAACGGTTGTGTGTCGGATTGGGAGCGTTCGCAGAAGCAGCATCCTCACCCAAGCAGCTGCTTCGGGGATGGATAGCTTGGGACTCGTCGTCGTTGTCGTCCACGGCAAAGGTTTGGGTTTGTGATCATGGTGACAACATTTGCCGCAGCGACGAGCACTGCTTCGTTTTCGTTCTGACACTCCCTCTCCGGATCTACCCCTTTTGACCGACGTGGCATCTTGCGCGCTCTCTCGGCAAGCACCTCGTAGCTCTGAGCCGCACCTTTCAGATTGAACTTGCAGCCTTGAAACATGATCTTCAACACCAGAGCACCTGAAGCCTAGATGTTGAAGTCTCCAGCTCAAATCTTGATCCGCGAGCTACTAGGCAATTGTGCGGCGGTTGTCACCGCCCTGGCCAAGAAGGCAATGGAGCAGACGCATTGTGAAAAGGACTGCTGTCCCACTAGGATCTCTCTGCAATCTAAGTAGTTTACCGTTAACCAGGACAAAGTGAATCCCAGCAGCAGCAGCAGCAGCAGCAGCCGCCATGACAAAGGGCACCCTCTTGGCAACAACAGCTTCCTCTTTGGCTGCGGTTCCTACTGCTGCGACGTCGACTCCTACTGCTCATACGACTAGGCTACCAGCTTCCGCTACTACCACTGCGACCACCGCCACACCAGGAGTCGGAAGTGGCGAACAAGCGCTCACGCGTGCTCTCGCGCTGAGCCTGGGTTTTGTTGCAGGGCTGATGGCCCCACTGATCCAGAGGCTTGTGGCTTTGTTTGGAGCCTTAGGACAAGAAGGTCTTGTTAACAGGAAGGCGAAGGGCACTGTGGGCTTTGTATTGCTCGCAGGGCCAAAAGCCAAATGATAGGGCCCGATCAGCGCCTGCGAACTTTCTCTCGTGACAAGCGGGTTAGGACTGCAATTGTCAGTCTGATAAGTACCAGTATCTCCACTCGTGCAGCATCCGACTCAAATGCGTGGTGCATTGTCTGTGAGCTTCGAGCTTCCGCCTGTGGTGGTGCTTCTTTGCCCGCTTGTGGCATCCTGAACTTTGCAAGCTTGGAGTGCCGCTTGCACAGCCGTTTGCGGCCTGCAGCACCGTTGCCCAACGAGGAACAGGTGATGAC